CCATGCCATGCCATGCCATGCCATGCCATGCCAGGCCATGCCATGCCAGGCCATGCCAGGCCATGCCATGCCAGGCCATGCCATGCCAGGCCATGCCATGCCATGCCAGGCCATGCCATGCCATGCCATGCTAGGCCATGCCATGCCATGCCATGCCATGCCATGCCAGGCCATGCCATGCCATGCCATGCCGTTCCAGGCCATGCCAGGCCATTCCAGGCCATGCCAGGCCATGCCATGCCAGGCCATGCCATGCCAGGCCATGCCATGCCAGGCCTACCATGCCATGCCATGCCATGCCAGGCCATGCCATGCCAGGCCATGCCAGGCCATGCCATGCCAGGCCATGCCATGCCAGGCCATGCCATGCCATGCCAGGCCATGCCATGCCAGGCCATGCCATGCCAGGCCATGCCAGGCCATGCCATGCCAGGCCATGCATTGCCATGCCATGCCATGCCATGCCATGCCATGCCATGCCAGGCCATGCCATGCCATGCCATGCCAGGCCATGCCATGCCAGGCCATGCATTGCCATGCCATGCCAGGCCATGCCATGCCATGCCAGGCCATGCCATGCCATGCCATGCCAGGCCATGCCACGCCAGGCTATGCCATGCCAGGCCAGGCCATGCCATGCCATGCCAGGCCATGCCATGCCAGGCCATGCCATGCCAGGCCAGGCCATGCCATGCCATGCCATGCCAGGCCATGCCATGCCATGCCATGCGAGGCCATGCCATGCCATGCCAGGCCATGCCATGCCAAGCCAGGCCATGCCATGCCAGGCCATGCCATGCCATGCCAGGCTATGCCATGCCAGGCCATGCCATGCCATGCCATGCCATGCCAGGCCATGCCATGCCAGGCCATGCCATGCCAGGCCATGCCATGCCAGGCCATGCCATGCCAGGCCATGCCATGCCAGGCCATGCCATGCCATGCCATGACATGCCAGGCCATGCCATGCCAGGCCATGCCATGCCATGCCAGGCCATGCCATGCCAGGCCATGCCATACCATGCCAGGCCATGCCATGCCAGGCCTTGCCATGCCATGCCAGGCCATGCCATGCCAGGCCATGCCAGGCCATGCCATGCCATGCCATGCCATGCCAGGCCATGCCATGCCATGCCATGCCAGGCCATGCCATGCCAGGCCATGCCATGCCAGGCCATGACAGGCCATGCCATGCCAGGCCATGCCATGCCAGGCCATGCCAGGCCATGCCATGCCAGGCTATGCCATGCCATGCCAGGCCATGCCATGCCATGCCATGCCATGCCAGGCCATGCCATGCCAGGCCAGGCCATGCCATGCCATGCCATGCCATGCGAGGCCATGCCATGCCATGCCAGGCCATGCCATGCCAAGCCAGGCCATGCCATGCCAGGCCATGCCATGCCATGCCAGGCCATGCCAGGCCAGGCCATGCCAGGCCATGCCATGCCATGCCATGCCATGCCAAGCCATGCCATGCCAGGCCATGCCATGCCAGGCCATGCCATGCCAGGCCATGCCATGCCAGGCCATGCCATGCCAGGCCATGCCATGCCATGCCATGACATGCCAGGCCATGCCATGCCAGGCCATGCCATGCCATGCCAGGCCATGCCATGCCAGGCCATGCCATGCCATGCCAGGCCATGCCATGCCAGGCCTTGCCATGCCATGCCAGGCCTGGCCATGCCATGCCAGGCCATGCCATGCTAGGCCAGGCCAGGCCAGGCCAGGCCATGCCAGGCCATGCCATGCCATGCCATGCCATGCCATGCCATGCCATACCATGCCATGCCATGCCATGCCATGCCATGCCATGCCATGCCATGCCATGCCATGCCAGGCCATGCCATGCCATGCCATGCCATGCCAGGCCATGCCATGCCATGCCAGGGAATGCCATGCCAGGCCATGCCATGCCATGCCAGGCCATGCCATGCCATGCCAGGCCATGCCATGCCAGGCCTTGCCATGCCATGCCAGGCCTGGCCATGCCATGCCAGGCCATGCCATGCTAGGCCAGGCCAGGCCAGGCCATGCCAGGCCATGCCATGCCATGCCATGCCATGCCATACCATGCCATGCCATGCCATGCCATGCCATGCCATGCCAGGCCATGCCATGCCATGCCAGGGAATGCCATGCCAGGCCATGCCATGCCATGCCAGGCCATGCCATGCCAGGCCATGCCATGCCAGGCCATGCCAGGCCATGCCATGCCAGGCCATGCCATGCCAGGCCATGCCATGCCATGCCAGGCCATGCCATGCCGTTCCAAGCCATGCCATGCCAGGCCATGCCATGCCAGGCCATGCCATGCCAGGCCATGCCATGCCATGCCATGCCATGCCAGGCCAGGACATGCCAGGCCATGCCAGGCCAGGCCATGCCATGCCATGCCAGGCCAGGCCATGCCATGCCATGCCATGCCATGCCATGCCATGACAGGCCATGCCAGGCCATGCCAGGCCATGCCATGCCATACCAGGCCATGCCATGCCAGGCCATGCCATGCCATGCCATGCCATGCCATGCCAGGCCATGCCATGCTATACCAGGCCATGCCATGCCAGGCCATGCCATGCCATGCCATGCCATGCCAGGCCATGCCATGCCAGGCCATTCCATGCCATGCCATGCCATGCCAGGCCATTCCATGCCATGCCATGCCATGCCAGGCCATGGCATGCCATGCCAGGCCAGGCCATGCCATGCCATGCCAGGCCATGCCATGCCAGGCCATGCCATGCCATGCCAGGCCATGCCATGCCATGCCAGGCCATGCCATGCCATTCCAGGCCATGCCATGCCATGCCATGCCAGGCCATGCCAGGCCATGCCATGCCAGGCCATGCCAGGCCATGACATGCCATTCCATGCCATGCCATGCCAGGCCATGCCATGCCAGGCCATGCCATGCCAGGCCATGCCATGCCAGGCCATGCCATGCCATGCCAGGCCATGCCATGCCATGCCATGCCATGCCAGGCCATGCCATGCCAGGCCATGCCATGCCATGCCAGGCCATGCCATGCCATGCCAGGGCATGCCATGCCATGCCAGGCCTTGCCATGCCATGCCAGGCCTGGCCATGCCATGCCAGGCCATGCCATGCTAGGCCAGGCCAGGCCAGGCCATGCCAGGCCATGCCATGCCAGCACATGCCATGCCATGCCATGCCATGCCATGCCATGCCAGGCCATGCCATGCCATGCCAGGGGATGCCATGCCAGGCCATTCCATGCCATGCCAGGCCATGCCATGCCAGGCCATGCCATGCCAGGCCATGCCAGGCCATGCCATGCCATGCCAGGCCATGCCATGCCGTGCCAGGCCATGCCATGCCAAGCCGCCATGCCATGCCAGGCCATGCCATGCCAGGCCATGCCATGCCATGCCATGCCATGCCATGCCATGCCAGGCCAGGACATGCCATGCCATGCCATGCCAGGCCATGCCATGCCATGCCATGCCATGCCATGCCAGGACATGCCATGCCATTCCAGGCCATGCCATGCCATGCCATGCCAGGCCATGCCATGCCATGCCATGCCATGCCTGGCCATGCCATGCCAGGCCATGCCATGCCATGCCATGCCATGCCAGGCCATGCCATGCCAGGCCATGCCATGCCAGGCCATGCCATGCCATGCCAGGCCATTCCATGCCATGCCAGGCCATGCCATGCCATGCCATGCCAGGCCATGCCATGCCAGGCCATGCCATGCCATGCCATGCCATGCCAGGCCATGCCATGCCAGGCCATGCCAGGCCGCCATGCCATGCCAGGCCATGCCATGCCAGGCCAGGCCATGCCATGCCAGGCCATGCCATGCCATGCCATGCTAGGCCATGCCATGCCATGCCATGCCAGGCCATGCCATGCCATGCCATGCCGTGCCAGGCCATGCCAGGCCATTCCAGGCCATGCCAGGCCATGCCATGCCAGGCCATGCCATGCCAGGCCATGCCATGCCAGGCCATGCCATGCCAGGCCATGCCATGCCATGCCATGCCATGCCAGGCCATGCCATGCCAGGCCATGCCAGGCCATGCCATGCCAGGCCATGCCATGCCAGGCCATGCCATGCCATGCCAGGCCATGCCATGCCATGCCATGCTAGGCCATGCCATGCCATGCCATGCCATGCCATGCCATGCCATGCCAGGCCATGCCATGCCATGCCATGCCGTTCCAGGCCATGCCAGGCCATTCCAGGCCATGCCAGGCCATGCCATGCCAGGCCATGCCATGCCAGGCCATGCCATGCCAGGCCTACCATGCCATGCCATGCCATGCCAGGCCATGCCATGCCAGGCCATGCCAGGCCATGCCATGCCAGGCCATGCCATGCCAGGCCATGCCATGCCATGCCAGGCCATGCCATGCCAGGCCATGCCATGCCAGGCCATGCCAGGCCATGCCATGCCAGGCCATGCATTGCCATGCCATGCCATGCCATGCCATGCCATGCCAGGCCATGCCATGCCATGCCATGCCAGGCCATGCCATGCCAGGCCATGCCATGCCAGGCCATGCCATGCCAGGCCATGCCATGCCATGCCATGCCATGCATTGCCATGCCAGGCCATGCCATGCCATGCCATGCCAGGCCGTGCCATGCCAGGCCATGCCATGCCAGGCCATGCCATGCCATGCCAGGCCATGCCATGCCAGGCCATGCCATGCCAGGCCATGCCATGCCATGCCATGCATTGCCATGCCATGCCATGCCATGCCATGCCATGCCATGCCAGGCCATGCCATGCCAGGCCATGCCATGCCAGGCCATGCCATGCCATGCCTGGCCATGCCAGGCCAGGCCATGCCATGCCAAGCCATGCCAGGCCAGGCCATGCCAGGCCATGCCATGCCATGCCAGGCCATGCCATGCCAGCCATGCCATGCCAGGCCATGCCATGCCAGGCCATGCCACGCCAGGCCATGCCATGCCAGGCCATGCCATGCTATGCCAGGCCATGCCATGCCAGGCCATGCCATGCCATGCCATGCTGTCTTTGCAACCCTCAAGGCCAAGCACGGCTTCCTGCTCGTGCTTGATGAGGTGCGTGATTAGCTATTGCGCGTGTGCCATGCCATGCTCTGCCTACGTGCCTGCCTTTACTAGTAAGAATTCTCATAAGTGATTCGCCATGCCATGCTCTGCCTGCCATCGCAGCTGCAGAGGAGACGGGGGTAAAGGCAGGCAGCCGAAGCTTTGCCTCACATTCCTCTTAGCTTCTCTGCGCACCCCTTCACTCCCTGCCTTGCATCCATCTTCTCTTCTCTTCTCACCCTTCTCTCCTGGTCTCCTGTTCCCACTGTTGCCACCACCTTTCATGCAGGCCCATGCAACGCTGGTGTGTGGCAGCACGGACGGAGGAGCAGCGGAGGAGATGGGGGTGAAGCCAGCCGTTTCAATGTGTGTGATGCCTCACATCCCTTCCCCTGCAGGCACATGCGACGCTAGTGTGTGGCAGCACGGGCGGGGGAGCAGCAGAAGAGATGGGTGTGAAGCCAGCAGTGGATGTGCATGTGGGCACACTCAGCAAGGCCGTGGGCTGCTTGGGGGGCTACATCGCTTGCTCGTAAGGGGGGGTTGGGAGTGAAGGTGGGAAGGGAGGAAGTCGTGCGAGGGAAATTAATAGATGTTCAACCTATGAACCACGCATGATAAGTCGGCTCTGTCGTTTTCTATTCAAAATTTGCTCAGCAAGGCTGTGTGCTGCTTGTGGGCATTCACTGCCTTTTGGTTGAGCCGTGGGGAAGGAAACGACCCCTTCTGATCGATCCTCTGCCCGCTTTCTTTTCCTCCGCTGCCGTCTTGCCTCAAGAGCCTTCCTTGCTCACTGCCACCGCCCTGTGTTGCACGCACCCTCACCACAGCGCTCCCCTGCGTGACTTCTTTGCCTCTCGAGGCCGCTCCTTCATCTTCTCCACTGCTCTGCCTGTTCCTGTGGTCGCTGCTGCCAGAGGTGGGACGCTGCTCGCTTCGTGAGATGCTCCCTGCTCCCTGCTCACTGCTGCATGTATCCACACTCAACACTCAAGGCTCAACACTCATGAGAAGTCTCATATGTGATTCACACATCGTCACATCTCTGCCGGTGCCCGTGCCTGTGGTCACTGCTGCCAGAGTTAAGACTTTTGGGGAAAGGCCTGGGAGCAGGCAAGTGAATCCTTTTCCTATCATCTCCATTCTGTCCCACCCCTCCCTCCCTCCCACCTACCCCCTCCACCCCCAGCGGCCCTGGCAGTGGCAGGAGAGGAGCGGTGGAGGCAGAGGGCTGTGTGGTGGCGGGTGAAGCAGCTGGGGCAAGGTCTGGGGGTGACCTTCACGAGCCCCATCTGCCCCATTGTGCTCGGCTCAGCTGACCTGGCTCTCCAAGCCAGCAGGTGCGTTAGACATTACCTGTGCTGCCCCTTTTGAGTCGGCGACTCAAAAGCTCACCTTGGAATCTGTAGGTGCCTTCTCTGCCTGGGAGTGACCTTCACAAGTCCCATCTGCCCCATTGTCCTCGGCTCCGATGACCTGCCTCTGCAAGCCAGCAGGTGCGTTCAGCGAAGATGGTTGTTTGAGTCTGGACTCTGGAGACTGCTTTAGGGCCTCATCTGCACGTACTCCCTTCACGAGTCCCATCTGCCCCATAGTGCTTGGCTCCGCTGACCTGGCTCTGCAAGCCAGCAGGTGGGGGTTTTGTAACCTCCTCATCTCCTCATCTCCTCATCCTCAGTCCAAAAATGCTTTCGCGAGTCCCATCTGCCCCATTGTCCTCGGCTCAGCTGACCTGGCTCTGCAAGCCAGCAGGTGCGTTCAGGGGAGATGGTTATCTGGTTCCCTTACTGATTACAGAGTCTAGTGATTGTACGCCCTTTACCTGGCATGGCCACTTTTTCGTTGCAATCCATTTCCATGTGACCTGTCCCACTCATAACCTACCCACCCACGATTTCCTTCGATCCCCTTCATTTCCCTCCTCTTCTCCTCGCGTGCATCTTCTTCTGTCTGTTTTTCTGAACTAAAATCAGACTCACTACCTGCCATAATCAAATCTCCCTGCAACCACCCACCTCTCCTCCCCCACAGGCATCTGCTGCTCTCTGGTTTCCACGTGCCTGCCATTCGCCCTCCCACTGTTGCTCCTGGCTCCTCACGGTAACTCCCTCTCTCCCTCCCTCCCTCCCTTTCACTTGCTTGCTCTTTGTCTCTGCTCACTCACCCAGCCACACTTTCTGCCTCTGCAGCACTCTCCATGTTATCCAAATACCGTAGCTTTGCTGAATTACTCGTCACGTCTGACCTAATTGTTCTGTCTTATCATCATCTGTCACTCATAATCTTTTCCCTCCCCTCCTCCCCTCCCCCTCCCCTCCCCCTCTCTGTCCCCTCCCCTCTCCCCCTCACTTTCCCTCCCTATCCCCTCCCATCTCCCACTCATCTCCTCTCCCTATCCCCCAGCCTGCGAGTGGCCCTATCGGCCTCGCACACACCTGCCCATGTGAATGCACTCATCACGGCGCTCCGCCCCATCCTCGCCCTCTCTCGCTCCCACTCACGCACAACCCTTTCCCACGCCGTACCCCCTGCGCTCCCTTCTCCCTCTCCCCCTCCTCCTTCCTCCTCTCCTGCACTGCAAGCACACTGCAAGCAGAAGCAGCAGCAGCAGTTGAGGGAAGGGCAGGAGGGGTGGGAGGCGCAGCAGGGGCAGGGTGCCAAGAATGGAACGAGCAAGAAGGGTGCTTGTAGGTCTGAATTGTGAAACAGGCTCTGCTCTCACGAGTAGTTTAGTGTAGATTCCCTTGAGAGTTATCAAATTAGTGATTCATTCGTCCATTCCACCCTCACAACTGAGCATTTCCATCCATGCAACTATTGTTGTAAAGGAATTGATGGTGCACAATGGAACATATACGGGTAAGATGCTGCTGGGCTGTGCTTTTATGACGTTAAAGTAACATTGGAAGCTCAGGCAAACTAGCAACTACACATTGGAACCAAATTGGATTGTGGGATCACAAACAACCAAGAGCAGAACAAAGGTGATCCGGCGCAGTGTGCATGCAGTGCCACGCCCCTTCACCCCTCCTCTTTCCGCCTCCCTCGAGCTGTTGACAGCCTGCAGATTGCATGCCACACCATGCCATGCCACACCATGCCATGCCACACCATGCCATGCCACACCATGCCATGCCACACAATGCCATGCCACACAATGCCATTTCACACCATGTCATGCCACATCGAAGATTATGCGAATACATTTGTCAACATGTTAAAGGAAGCTTTCACCCAACCCGACCAATACCCAATTACTCACCTCAGATTTAATCCCTTTCACTCACCTCAGATGTAATCCCTTTCACTCACCTTACACCAGGAATATTAGGGGGGGAGTGGAAAGGGGGGCCGCGGAAAGGAGGGGAGGGAAAGGGTGGGGGGGGGGGGGGTGGGGGGGGGGGGGGGGGGGGGGGTGTTGGGGGGGAAGGGAAAGATGGGCGCTTTCTCCTTTCGCCAGTCTTCTCCGTGCATTTTCCCTCTTCTCCCCTCCACTCCGCCCACCTTCGTCTTTCTTCTCCCCTCCGCTCACTCCCTCCGCTCCCGTTATCCCTTTTTCCTGTCTTGTGTCCAGGCTGGGACCGTCGACGCGCACTCAAGTCCAGGCAGAAGAGGGGAGCGCGGAAAGGGGAGCAAAAAGGCGGAAAGGGGAAGGGAAAAGCGGAAACGGGAGGGGAAGGCGGATTGGGGAAGGGAAACGCGGAAAAGGGAGGGAAAAGGTGGAAAGGGAAAGGGATGAGCGGAAAGGGGAGGAGAAAAGCAAAAAGGGGAGGGAAAAAGCGGAAAGGGTGGGGGGGGGGGGGGGGGGGGGGGGGGAAGCGGAAAGGGGAGGGGGAAAGCGGAAAAGGGAGGGAAAAAGCGGAAAGGGTACGGGAAAAGCGGAAAGGGGAGGGGAAAAGCGGAATGGGGAGGAAAACAGCGGAAAGGAGAGGGGTAAGCGGAAATTAAAGGGGAAATGGGCGCTTCCCCCTTTCTCCAGTCCTCTACGTCCAGTTCCCCCTAATCTGCCCTCCGCTCACCTCCACTCACCTCTCGCGTCCAGAATACAGCCGACGATCTGAAGTCACGAGCGGGCGAGCGTAAAGGGGAGGGGGAAGGGGAAATTACCGTCACCTCCACTCACCTCCTTTTCCGCGTCTTGCGTCCAGGATACCGTCGATGCTGTGAAGTCGACGAAACGCGCTGTCTAACCGACGAAACGCGAGTCGCTACTAATGCATTAGAAGTCGACGCTACCAATTCGTCCGCCACGAATGTTACTATTCCGTCCGCTACTACACATGTGGAAAGATTACTATTAGGGAGCGCGCAACTTAGACTGTCTTACCGAGACTGCGATATCTATTCAGACCTGATACTGCTAGCATCCCAATAGAAGCGTTGATTAAAAATAAGCACGACCGAGAGCGTGAACTACATGAAATAAATCGCTGTCAAGAAAATCTGTACTTAGATCGACTACCGCGCTGAGATCCGACTTCACGAAAAATAACTATCGAAACAAACGAGATGCGTGGCGAAACTACTACTAATTGCAAGTTAGTGTGAGCTAATGGAAGTCACATATATCTGGGGAATGACGGGTGAAGTAATGGTGGCAGGTTCGGAGTACCAGGTCCGGTGGTTGTGCCAGGGTGTCAAAAACACCTTCTTTTCGCGTAATTTCTTTTCTCATCCATACATTGTTATTCCAGCTGCCCGAGCAGGTTGAGAGAGTCAGCTGACTTCTCCTGAACCAAAGCTGTCCCACACCTCACGCAAAACCCACGCGGCTCAAAAAACTTACGGCCCAACTAACGATAGCGCCACGTCAACCACCTCCTAGAAAACTCGAGCCTATCCTTGCTGTTGCACACCAGCGTGCTCAACAAACCTCCCTGACCACCAAACCTCGCCTTTGGCAAACGCGTTTGCATACGAACAAGTCAATTCGATTTGTGTAACCACAATGTGCAAAGTGAATGTGCTGTACTACTTGGGTTGAACTGGATGGACAAGACGGCGGGGGCACAATTTCAGCCACCTCAATCTGTTCTTCACGCGCCGCTCGACGAATGGCCCCTGGCTTGGTCCCCTGCCACAATCTCGGCGCCGCAATTTATTGGTCCATCATACAATCCACAACACCTTCCCACCGTTGCGGTCGACTGCACAACCACCATCCATCCATTCACATCACACTGTACTTTTTCGCACCGCGCACACAGCCTGGTCTCAGGATTCACGAATTCCCTCCCACACGGCGGCAGCACAGCATGGTGTTTGAATTGAGCTAAGACGCACCATCAGAGCCGCCGTTCAGAATGGCGGATTTGTATCCACCAATCAGCAGAAAGCTTATCCTTCTGTTTCAGCAGCTACCATTTGCTTGCATCTCCCTCAAGCATCTCATCCACTCCATATAATATAGCGATGTTGCATTTGTGCAGTTCTTTTTCTCGAAGCTCCAAATCATTGAGCCCTCCCGGATGGTATACGAGGAAGTCAAGGCATGCGGCGGCGTTGAGTTAGAAAGTCGGGTGAGGGGTGGGTGGGTAGATGTCGTGAGGAGTGAGCTGCCAAGTGCCTTGACTAAACCGTGTACTCTACCGAGATTTCCGCGGCAACCTTTTCACCGCGAAATCTGGACCGCCATATCTACGTGGCGCGACCATATCTGCAAGGTCTTCATTACACGAACTTCACGCGAAGAATATATACGGCTACTTTGTCGCAGCGAGGTCTACGCTCCGAACTCGCCACGGAACGGACTTCGAGAGCTTCAAAGTGAAGCACGGCGCCGACCTTGCTGATTCAAAATGCTGCTGGTGCGGCCTCTCCCGTCGTTGCGGCGATTCCAGTCTTCACCAACACAACGACGGGCCACCTGAACGAAGGCGGTCGTGTGGACAGCCTGAAGCCGATTGCTCTCAAGCTTCTCAAGCCCAACCTGAAGTCAAGATTGCCGATTGGCGATCACTCACCGTCGCCGCGAAAGGCGCTTCTTGTTGAAGTAAATCGTGCTGATTGGCGATCATTGTCGCTGGTCTTTTCTTCAGTTCTTCTTTTTACTAATCCTTTCTTTCCTTCTTCTTTTCAGACGTAAGCCATGCCGGAAGCGGATAGGAGCTTCCACCGTCGCTGTCGTCTTCATGACGGAAGCACTCAACCACTTATGACAACCGGAAGAACGCCTCCAACGGGTTTCAAGCCCGTCACCAACTGTTCGCCAACCGTCGCCAATGGGGGACTTCTAGACTCGGCTAGGGTACGTAAACCGAGTTGGACTTTGATTTAACTCTTTTTTTTTCGTTTTTGTTGATAGTACTAATGTGTTGCCTTTTTCCTTTTCAGACCTTGGCGACCTCATTGGCGACCGTCTCAAGCTCACAAGATGGCTAGAGGCGCTACGAAAGGTTTCAAGCCCTGGCACAGCTACGGATGCATTCAAAGTCGCCTCGCCGACCGTCGCCAATGGCCAACTTGTCTCCAATGGTACATCACTTCAAAGTTTTGTTTCACGTAACTTCGGTTTCTTTTTACAAGTACTAATATTTCGTCTTCTTTTTTTCAGACCTCGGCGACCTTCTTGGCGACAGTCATGGCGACCGGCTTGGCGACCGAAGATGGCCGAGACACTAAAGCTCCGACAAGTACTAATATGTCACCGACGCCGTCGCCGTTGCTCCTGTCGCCAAGTCCCGCTACTCATAATCGCCGTCGTCGTCGCCGTTGCTCCTGAAGTCAAGTCCCGCTGTTCATAATCGCCGTCGCCGTCGCCGTTGCTCCTGACGCGATGTCCCGCTGCTCATTATCGCCGTCGCCGTCGCCGTTGCTCCTGACGCCAAGTCCCGCTGCTCATAATCGCCGTTGCTCCTGACGCCAAGTCCCGCTGCTCATAATCGCCGTTGCTCCTGACGCCAAGTCCCGCTGACGGCCTTTTTCGTCGCTGCCCCTCGTCACTGGTAAGCACAGTCTTTGTTCCACTCGATTCTCTTTGGCCGTTTCGCCGTTACGCATATCCAATCGCCTTTTTCCATTCTTAATTATTTCTAGTAGTACTAATCTGATGCCGTTTTCTTATGCAGACCTTTTGGCGACCGAAGCTTCAAACGACGATCGGTGAAGGCGCCGACGCATCAGCGACGATTGGTGAAGGCGCCGACGCAGCAGCGACGATCGGTGAAGGCGCCGACGCAGCATCAGCGAAGTAGAGGTAACGTGACCTTCAGCAGCGCCTCGCACTTTGGTGATTTCATTTTTTCGCAGTTCGCTTCGCTTCGTATCTTTACTTTCTCTTTGACATTTACGGATTCTTGACGGATTCTGACGAAATCTTTCTCTTTTTTCTGCAGAAGCTGACCGTACCCCAGCGACGCGCGGCGACGCATGGGCGCAACTCACGGATGGCGGGCGGGGTTTGCGGACGCATGACGTGACGACGTGGCGACGGGTGATGCTTCTTCGGCAAGTCCAACGTCGCACGGTGCATCGGAGGCCCTTGGCGACGCTTCGGTTCGCTACAAGCTGCGCCTCGCTGCGGTTGGGGTAACTCTACCAACTTTCGCTTCCTGCCGCCTTTCCCGCCGCCTTGATGGTTTCGGTTCCTTTCGTTTAGTTTCTAACGTGGTTGGTTTCGTCCTGCAGAGGGCCTCACGGACGCACGGCGACGCTTCTCGCGGGCGGACGACGCGTTTCGCGGTCGGAAGGCGCGTCTCCCGGACGGATGGCGCGTATCGCGAGCGGAAGGCGCGTTTTGAGGGCAGAAGGCGCGTTTCCCGGGCGGATGGCGCGTTTTGCGGGCGGATGGCGCGTCTCCCGGACGGATGGCGCGTTTTCCTGGGCGGATGGCGCGTTTTCCCGGGCGGATAGCGCAGGAGCGGCGGGAGCGGGAGTCAACGGTGGAAGCGGGAGTTCAAACTACCACGGGGGACTCCCTCCCTCTCACTTTGTAAGTTTCACTTCCAGTTTTCCTTCGTTTTCTTTTCCGGATTCTAACTACTATGTTGTGTGCTCCCTCTTTTAGTGCAGGAGCGGCGGGACCGGGAGTCAACGATGGAAGCGGGAGTTCAAGCTACCACCGGGGACTTCCTCTCACTTTGTCAGTTTCAGTTTCAGTTTCCCTTAATTTCTTTTTCCGGATTCTAACTACTTTGTTGTGTGCTCCCTCTTTTAGTGCAGGAGCGGCGGGACCGGGAGTCAACGATGGAAGCGGGAGTTCAAGCTACCACGGGGGACTTCCTTTCACTTTATAAGTTTCAGTTTCAGTTTCCTTTAATTTCTTTTTCCGGATTCTAACTTCTTTGTTGTGTGCTCCCTCTTTTAGTGCAGGAGCGGCGAGAGAGGGAGTCAACGATGGAAGCGGGAGTTCGAGCTACCACGGGGGACACCCTCCCTCTCACTTTGTAAGTTTCAGTTCCACTTTTCCGGATACTAACTACTTTGCTGTATGCTCCCTCTTTTAGTGCAGGAGCGGCGGGACCGGGAGTCAACGGTGGTAGCGGGAGATCAAGCTACCACGGGGGACTCCCTCTCACTTTGTAAGTTTCAGTTCCAGTTTTTCCTTGAATTTCTTTTTCTGGATTCTAACATAATTTGTTGTGTTCTCGCGCAGGAGCGGCGTGAGTGGGAGACAACGGCGCCGGGGATGACGCGGGAGGTCAACGGCGCTGGCGGGGAGCGGACGCCATCACTTCACGAATTTCCTCTCCTCTCTTCTTCCAGTCCAGCGTCCCGTGTCAGGTGGAGAGACAACCAGCCAGCATGGGGATCTGCTCCGACTCGTCTCCGACTATAGACTAGACTCGTTAGAGACGGACACGATACAGTCGCGTAGAACCGACCACGGAACAGACTGATAGGCTCGAAAAGCCCGGCACGGTATGCCGCGGTTTGGTGGTTTCGATCGATGGGGCGTGGTACGATTAGATAAGCCGCGTTACTGTACGATGTGCCGCGGCGAAGTTAGCTTGGTAAGATGTGCCGTGCCAGGTATGCTGCAGATTGTCTGACAGCGCGAGTCGAGGATTCCCACTTGACATCTCACAGCTGGAAATCCGAGGCTGTTTTCTGCCCGTGGGAATACAGTTCATAATTCCCCCCCAATAAGTTTTCATTCTTTTCTTCCCTTCCTTCCTACCGCTTCCCCCCACCCCCCCCCCCCCCCCCCCCCCCGTAGGTGTCCCGTGCGAAAAACCCCCACCTCAACACGGTGCACGGGTGAAACGCTAGAGGCTTTGCCTCTAGCGGCCAAGAGGGGTCAAGACTCAAGCCTCGAGACTCAAGACTCGAGACTCAAACAAGTGGAGCAGCAGCAGCAGAAGATCGGCCTTTCGTCTTAGGACGTGGGCCTAATCGACTTTGATCGGTTCGATCAAAGGCGATCAATAACTTCTAGGAAGGCAGGAATCCAGTTTCAGGCAATCAGGGGCAATCAGCTGATCGCAATCAGCTGATCGCTCCAACTCGATCAACCGCCTCAAGAAACCCGATCAATCACGATCAGACTCAATCAGTCCCGATCACTTGATTGCTTGTGATCGGGGGCCTGGACGACGTTCGCGAAACGTTACACAGTCGACTAGAGGTCTCGAAAATGTTTCGCTCATGCCTACGGAATGGCGAGAACAGTATGCGAAGGTTCTAGACTGACATTGTCTGTAACGCGATACATTGCGACGTTACCACGATGCATTGCGTTCGCCAGTCTCGCCAACGTTTGAAAGAAAATACCAGGTAATTGTGTCTCAATTATCATACAGGCTCGTAGAGTTTTCGAGGAAAATCAGCTTTGATCGAGCGGCGCGGGAAAAGCGATCACAAGCAATTCGAACCAATCCAACCAGATTCAATCCGACCCGATCAAGGTCGATTGGGCCCACGTCCTTAGAGTACCAGAATCTGAAGCTGGTTGTAGTGTCGAGTGGAGATCGTTTCCTTGTACGTGTGAAATGTTTTATATGAAATATATTTCATCATGACCTGCTTGGGAATACAAATCCCTGGGCGGATGAAGTACTAGACTCGAGCACATTCGAACAAACAGAAAGCACCATTGAAATCGTTGACTAGCAAACTCTTCCTAGGAACGGCGATTATCGCTCTTGAGTTCTCCACAAGCAATTACTCTTGCTTTTCTGCCTCCGACGGACGTTGCGATCCATCGACAGCATATAGGACCATGCGGCTGAGGTGTTTAGAAAGCATACGATCGCTAAGCAGTAAGTTCATGGAGATTAAATCTTAGCATTTCCAGCGTCGTTTACTCCTCTAGCTTTCTTTTAATACAAGCATGGCTGGTCTAGCCAAGACGCTGAACAAGTTCACCGAACCCGCGTTCAACGGGGTACCGGACATGGCTGGTCTAGCCAATACGCTGAACAAGCTCACCGAACAAGCTCTCATTGGTACCGTGGTATTGTTGACGCTAAACTGTGCGGTACGATCTGGTGCCAGTACGGATTATTTCAGTCGTGCTTATAAGCACCTACTTTCTCTCAACAGGAAACGTGTTTTCGACTTGTTTTCGCGTGCAGAGATGCAGGTGGAGTGGGGGAGGTGGTGTTCGACCACCTGCACGCCACTACCCGCTTCCCCTTCTTTGGATCCCCTTCCCCGCCAATCCCCATCCCCCCTGCCCTTCCTTCTTGGCACACAAGCGCAGATCGAGAAGCAGGTGGAGGAGGTGCTGTTCGACGACCTGCACGCCACTATCTACTTCTTCCCCCTCCTTCACTCCCCTCCCTTCTCTCCTTCGTTCCGCAACTCGCACACTCACCTGCGCAGATTGAGAAGCAGGTGGAGGAGGTGTTATTCGACGACCTCCACGATACGGCGTTCCAGTTCAGTCCGCTGGGGCGCACCGTCCTGGACTCCGCGGACAACGTGCGCCCCATCACGCGCGACGACCTCGAGAAGTACATCGCGACGCACTATACCGGGCCCCGCATGGTGAGCTTATAGCGGGGATGAGTGTGGGTGTGTGGGAGCAGGGTGAATTCCATGGACATCTTGTGCACTAACCCCAGAAATGATCTTGAGAGGCACATGGCGGCACATTACCGTTTGTGTGGAGAGGGAGAATGGTGGAGTGGAGGCACACTCCCTCGCTCGCTTCCATCCAACCGCCTCCACTCCACTTTTGTCCCTCAGGCGGAGGTAGACGCGCGGACCAACGGCTGATGTGTGCCATGATCATGACATGAAGCGTAACATTGACATGTCCATCAAGCACACCCATCTTCCCAAGACCTTCACCCGCTCTAAGTTCCTGATCTGCTTTATTGAGGTACTTATAATGCATCTTCATCTGCTAGGTCTTCCGATTCCTGGCAGTGAGAACACCTGATTCAGCCCTGTGACCGTGCAGCCGTTGAGGAAAAGCATACGCCGTTCCAGGCTTACCTGCAGAAGCGGCTCCATAAGGTACGCCAACCTGTTTCTTGCATTGCAACGCCCATTGTTCTGATCAGACTGCTTTCTCCTGCGTTTGTGTGCGATGCATTGTCAGTCAGATTCTGCTACCGATGCATGATTGGCCAGTTGGTAGCAGGGCTGGGAAAAAGGAGGATGTTGTGTACGAAAGTGGCTTGCGGAGCTGGTAGGTATTGTGGGAGATGCGGGCCATTACTTGTTCTATCCTCTCATTCCTCACTCCGTTGCTACATTCTTATCTGTTCGGATCAAGTTGGAGAGGGAGGAGAGAAAGGCTCTTGGATCAGACATGCCACACAATCGCCACATCCCCTGAAGGGTGTGGGAACGCCCATCAGGCAAACAACTCTTGGTTTGTACATGCCATTGTAAGATCCTTTTTCACCTCAATGTAATCTGATTCAGGGCTGATGGAAGTGCTGTATGACAGGAGAGGAGACCAACATGGTGAGGAGATGACAAAATACAGAGGACTAACACGGTGTTTGTCAAACCTTTGCCTGGCGAGGATTCAGATATGCACCTGTGTTCCTCTGTACGGTATTGCTTATTTATCTGTGGCTATGGTGATGTATCGTGGTGTGCTATATGAAAGAAAATATATGTTAATTGCCAACCAGCTGTACATACACCAGAGTGTCTCCACTGCACAGGCAATGAGGAACGAAATGTAAGGAAAAAATGCAGTGCAGGGACTGTTACAAAGGGTTACGAGTCACACAGCTTTAGTGCACTGTGATGTGATGTGATGTGACGCGAAGTGATGGGAGTCAAGACACTGAGTATATACTTGGATGACAATACAAAGCCACAGAAGCACTGCTAGCGGCATGTCATTACAACTCTGCTGTACCTAGTGAATGAATCAGATGCAAATAATCTTTCACACTGTACCTGTTGCCTGTTGTCAATAAACTACTAGTTTGATGCTATACATATTGAGAGCATTGTGATTAGCTACGATATAATGTAATCAAGTGGTAAGCGATCTTTGTGGGGACAAGTGTTGGTGATAGTATTTGGGATGATGCGAGAAAGGGTTGAACTCCTCAGCTGAGCTGCTCGAGGAGCTGTAATGTGAATCACCAGACAAGCTGTGTGACGAGTCATGGGACGAGTCTTGTGACGAGCCGCCAGAACCGTCAGACGAATGATCAGAACCGTCGGAGTCATGAGATGAGCTATCAGAGCCGTCGGATGAGCTTTCAGTTGAGCTGTCAGAAGAAGAGCCGTCGGAGGATGAAAAGTAGAACACCACACAGCGCCTCTCGTCCGGAATGATGCTGTTGCCGTCACCTGTGTTGAGATTGAACGTTGCAGCATCTGTGGACACCTGTGCGGCACTGATGGGTAACTGGATGTAGTGGTTGGCTAGGTTGGCCGAGAGAATATCCATGATGTTACGCGCTGTTAGGACCTGGAGGGATGGGGGGAGCGTAGAGGTGGGAGAGGGGAAAGGTGTGGTGCAGGGGGGAGGGGCCGGATTGGTTTGAGGTGGACAGCTGTGCAGCACTGATGGGTAATCGGATGTAGCGGTTGGCTAGGTTGGCCGAGAGAATATCCATGATGTTTCGTGCGGTTAGCACCTGGGGGGTGGGGAAGGTGTGGATGGGAGGGGGAAGGAGGATGTTACAACTCACGTTGTGTGAAAGCTGATACACGCAGGTGCGCAGACATGTGCGATGGAAGTGGCATGTGCGATGGGAGAGGCATGCAGGATGGGAGAGGCATGCACGATGGGAAAGATACATAGAACAGGATTTTTTGCAGAGAGAGCAGCGAGTCTCACCCACACTTGTTCTGTTACTCACATTGCTTTGGAAGAAGAAAGCGTTAGTAGCTGCTGCTGTTGTCTTGTCCTCCACTCCATCGCCACACAAGATCTCCGCTGAGCCAACATTTATCACCACCACTCGTACTCCCCCTCCGCTATCTCCTCCCCCGTTATCCCCCCCTCCATTAGTCTCCTCCCCACCGCTCTCCCCTGTGTTGACCTCTGCCGGAGCTATAGTCACTGTGGTTAGTCCGTTTGCCGAACCTGGATCCAGCAGCTGTTGCAGCGTGATGCGAGGTATGGTGGTTTCCGAACCTCCGAGGATGAACCCGCACAAGGTGGGTTCGGGAGGGCAGTTTGAGTCCGCGGGGGTTTCAGGCTCGGGAGGGGGTGGTGAAGGGGGAGGTTCGGTGGGCGGAGGTGAGGCTGGTGGTTCGGGAGGAGGCGCGGATGCGGGCTCGGGAGGAGGGGCAGCTTGAGGTTCGGGAGGAGGGGCAGCTTGAGGTTCGGGAGGAGGGGCGGTGGGAGGTTCGGATTGTGGGGGGGGAGATGCTGGGGGGTTGGGGGAAGGTGGGAGCTCGGGGGGGGGAATCGGGGGGAGGATTGGGGGCATGACAGGGGGAGTTTCGAGGGGGGGAATCAATGGGGTTTCGGGAGGAGGGGCAGGGGGAAGAGCAGGCGGGGGAGCAGGCGAGGGGGGCAGTGAGGGGGGAGATGGAGGGGAAAGAGGTGAGGGGATAGGGGGGATGGTTGGAGGGAGGGATGCGGGTGGAAGAGGGGTAGGGGGCGGGGATGGGGGAGGAGCGGGTGGGGGAGCAGGGGGAGGTGAGGGAGGGGGAGCAGGAGGCGGGGCGGGTGGGGGAAGTGAAGGGGGAGGAGGGGGAGGTGACGCAGGAGGGGGGGCAGGGGGAGGGGAAGGTGGGGAGGCAGGAGGAGGAGGAAAAGGGGGAGGTGGCGGAGGTAAGGACGGGGGAGGGGGGGAAGGGGGCGGAGGGGGAATAGGGGGAGGAAAAGGAGGGGGAGAGGGTGGGGGAAGCGGGGGTGGGAAAGGGGGCCGAGGGGGAGGGCTACTGGGCGGAGGGGGGTTGGGGGGACTGGGGGAGGGAGGCGGGGGTGTTGTGTTCCACTTGTACTTGAGGGGCCGGGACGTTGTGCCTGGAGGGATGCAGAGAGGACATGGAGAAGGAAACAAGATCTGACAAGCATGGGGTTTGGCGAAGTTGGAGGGAGGAACGACAGTGGGGAGGTATAGTTCTGACTGACAAGGTTCAAACGGCATACTAGCACACCAAACCCCATCCTATCCTACCTTAGGAGTGTGGAAGAAGTGCAGAAATGCCTCTCGGTGGCCGGCTGAGCTGAGTGAGAGGGTGGCTTACAGTTGATGTCGGCCCATGATATGCGGAAGGCAGCATTGTTGAAATACACATGCTTGTTGTACAGCCAGGGCGCTGGTGGTGGCGAGCAGGGGGAGAGGGGAGGAGGCAACGTGAGCAAGGGGAGAGAGGGCAGGAAGGGGAAGAAGAGGCAGCGTTGTTGAAATACACATGCTTGTTGTACAGCCATGCCGCTGATTGAACAGCATGGGGGCAGGAGACAGGGGAGGGGCATGGGGGGCTGGAGAGAGGGGAGGAGGCAACGTGAGCAGGGGGAGAGAGCAAGGAGGGGCGAGGGCAAGGAGGGGTGAGGGCAAGGAGGGGCGCGTTTTCTTGATATTATCACCATGAGAGTGTAGGTGTGTGGCTTGTGAGAAACAAAGTGGTGGTGTGGTGTGGTGTGGTGTGGTGTGGTGTGGTGTGGTGTGGTGTGGTGTGGTGTGGTGTGGTGTGGTGTGGTGTGGTGTGGTGTGGTGTGGTGTGGTGTGGTGTGGTGTGGTGTGGTGTGGTGTGGTGTGGTGTGTGGGAAAGACATCATGCAAGCAGCATGTGCATGTTGATTGCTGTACATGGGTGAACGCACACACGCGCACACGCACACTCGCATATATGCACGTTTGCAGTACACGTGAGAGCATCACTGGCTGCCTCCTATGGTTGATAATACGAAGTCGGCGCAAACAGCGGCGCACCTGCTATGGTGGAGTGGGGCGCACCTCCTATGATGGTGTGTGGAGTGTTTGTCAGTGTCTTCTGTAGCGCGAAGCACACTGTCCTGGGCAGGGCTGCTGGGTCCTGGAGGGGTGCAGAGGGGCGCAGATGGGTGGGGGAGATGGGTGGAAGGGTGGGGTACCATGGGAAGGCAGGGAGGGGTGAAAGAGGGAGGATATATGGTGCATGGGGGGTAAAGTCTTTACAACGAAAGTTACCAGAGAAGCACACTGTGCCAGCCAGCAAAGTGCACTGTGCCATATATCTTCCTGCAGGAAGAAGCATAGTATCACTGATACCTGTGGGCCATTTTAACTAACTGCCTAACCAATCACTGATGCCGGAAAGGAGGAGCGGTGCAGCAGCACTCACGGGCAGAAGAAGGTATGTGCACCACCACCACCACCAGAAGGCACGTGTAAACAAATATTTTTTAGACTGTCTAAAAAAAATATTGTTTGCAGCAGCACTCACAGGCAGAAGAAGGTATGTGTCCGGTGGTAACCACCAGAAGGCCCCGTTGGTGAAGTCCAGGCGGGCGAGGGGGAAGGACGCCAGGAGAGCTGCACGGGAGCTGGTGAGGAGCGAGGGATGCGCGGAGAAGGAGGGAGAAGCAGAGAGAAGCGGGGAGAAGCACGGAGAAGCCAAGAGAGGGGGCAGGGGGTTGGATGGGGGCAGGGGAGCGTAGGTGGATGGGTGGGTGTGAGAATTGTCGTTGGTGAATTTTGGCGGGCAAGAGGGAAGCAAGAGGGAGGGCAGGGGAGCTGCATGGGATGGGAGCTGGGTGGGTGTGCGAGGCGAGGATGCCAAGAGCAGGGTGGGTGGGGGCGGCGGGGAGAAGGAGGTTAAGAAGGAAATGCGGGATGGGAAGTATGGCAGCGAGCAGAGCAAGAGCACGGGGCCTCACGGGGCAGAGCACGGGGCAGAGCAAGAGCACGGGGCCTGGGGCATTCAATAATACAGCATGGAACTCACGAGATGTTGACAGAGGCAGGCAGGTCGTAGCAGTCTAGCTGCACTGGCAGGGTGGGCGGTGCTGTGGCTGTGAGCTTCGCACCCGGCACCAGCTGAAGCACCTGAGCAAGCAGCAGAACGAAATCAAAACCACCATGGAACAAGGAACCTTGCACATGCAGCAAACACAGTGCTGCTGCTGCGCACACGGAAGTATGCACTACGAATATCAAGCCAAACAATCAGTCCAGAAACAACCGCTCTTCTCTTCCTTTTTGTTTAGCACTCACGAAGTTATTAGCCCCTCTGAAACCTACGGCTCGTATTAGCTTAAGGCTCTGGGGGGAGCCGACGACGCCTCATCGTTCCCACCCACCGCCTCACCCTCTTGACAAAGGCATTGCAAGCGGTGGGGGGCAGGGCAGTGAGGGGCACGAACACGAACAGCTGACGACTGCCTTTGAGACGTGTCAAAAGTCCTCACTTTCTTAACAAAGGCGTTGTACGCGGTGGGGGGAAGGGCAGTGAGGGGCGCGGAGGAGCTGATGACTGCTCCGCGGCCCTGCTCTGGTACCGACTCCCATGTCATGCCTGGTAGTGGGAGTGGCTGTGCTGCCACCTGCAGCGATGCTATGGCCACATAGTAGAGCTGACTGGTGGGGGGAAGAGAGAGAGAGGCGGGTGGGAGAGGGAGAGGCGGGTGGGAGGGAGAGAGGCGGGTGGGAGGGAGAGAGGCAGGTGGGAGGGAGAGAGGCGGGTGGGAGGGAGGTATTGCGGGAGCGTGTGGCTCAGGCAGGGCAGCGGCAGTGGCTGTGCTGCCACCTGCAGCGATGCTATGGCCACGAAGTAAAGCTGACTGATAAGTGGGATGGGAGGGAGGGGGGCGGAAGGGAGGTTGCGGAGGTGTGTGGCTTGGGCAGGGGCAGTGGTAGCGGCAGCTATGCCGCCACCTGCAGTGATGCTATGGCCACGTAATAGAGTTGACTGGTGGGCGGGAAAGGGTAGGGTGGGGGAGGTGGGAGGGTGTGACAGGTGCAATGGCGGTGGCGGTGGCAGTGGCAGGATGGCAACCCGCATGCACCCCCACATAACCCACAGGCTAGAAACAGACCCCATCCCAGCACACGACCCACTCTCCAGGTTAACACATGGGGGGTTGGGTAGGATCAGTAATAAAACAAACACCCATGCACCAACAGCAGACCCCATCACACTACGCACTCTTCAGGTTGGCCCAGCATGGGGGTGGAGGAGGTAGGTTTGACGGCTATCCCTGCTGCTGCTGCATCCCCCAGCAGCAGCCTCCCGCCACTGCCTGCTGCTGCGTCACCTTCAAAGCACAGTCCCACCGCATCCAACCGCTGCGTACCCAATTGGGCTCCCGACACTCCTGTTGCCGCTGATGCTGATGCTGCTGCTGATGCTGATAACACTACCCCCTGTGCTGCTTCCTCTGCTGTTGCCTTTTGTGTAGAACCTAGGGATTCTTGCGCTGCTGATGCTGCTCCTTCTGCTCCCCCCACCCCTCCCCCTCCCCCAGGGAAACCCTCAGCTGCCGCGGCAGCAGGGGAGGCGGGGAAAGGGGAGACGAGTTGCGAGGGGAGGGAGGTGGCTGAGCGGGAGAGGGAGAGGAGGCCATCGGGGTAGAGAGAGGAGGAGAGGGCTGATGCCTCCCCGTCCTGCTGTGCGCAGCTGATAGAAGAGGGAGAGGAGGAAGAAGGGAGGGGAGGGGAGGGGAGGGGGAGGGAAAATGGAGGGGAAAGGGAGGAAAAGGGAGGGGAAAGGGAGGAAAAGGGAGGAACGGGAAAATGGGAGGGTAATATGTATGGAGGGGGAGGAGAGGGGGGTTTGAGAGGAGGGGGAGCCAGTGTGGACTATGCCAAGATAAGGCCCGGCTGTTTCACTGAAATGGGGAAGACACAGAAATGGAATGCATGCAATGCAGGCTGCAGCAGACGGTATGCTATGCCACACCATGCCACACCATGCCACACCATGCCACACCATGCCACACAATGTCATACCACAAAATCAACTCCCCCCCAAAGCCCCCCCCCACCCCCCGCTTACCCAAAGAGCACAGACTGAGACAAGCCACCTCCCTCCCCCACTCCCCCCACCAGCAGCACCGTGTCTTGCACCACAGTGCCAACCAAACTCCCCCCTAAAGCGCCCCCAGAGAGCAGGGGCAGGTTGAACTGGCAGGAGAGGTCGGTGGCGTTGACTAGCGAGCAGCCAAAGCCGTTCCCCAGCAGCTGGCACTTGTCGGGGGAGACACACGGGATGATGGCTGCTGTGGTGCTGAGGGGTACTGCGAATGGGGGACTTGTGGTCTGGGGGAAGAAAGGGGGAGATAGGGGGGAAATGGAGGGCTCTTGAGGCGCTTCAAAACCTGAAGCCGCTCCCGAGCAGCTGGCACTTGTTGAGTCGGGGGAGACGCACGGGATGATGGCTGCTGTGGTGCTCAGAGGTACTGCGAATGGTGGGCTGGGCGTCTGGGGGAGGGGTAGAAAGGGAGATGGGTAGAGGGAAGAGAAAGGGGAGAGGAGAGAAGGGCGGGGTAGAGAGGGTAGACGAGGGGCCATAACTTGAAGCAAGGGATGCTTGCATGAGAAAGTAAACACGCATCCGCATGCTGATCTGAGAGAGTGTAGTGCATGGTGCAGTGCAGCTGTGTAAGCACGATGAGATGCGGTGAAGCATGGTTGTGTGCAAGCTTTAGCAGGTGATTCCTTCCCCCAGCGGGTTGATTGGATGGAGTAAGCCTCCAAACATAACCATTTTACATCACTTCATAACACCCCTTTTTGCTTAACCCCTCCCCAACCACAAGCCTGATGCAAGCCCAGTAACCCTGTAACCAGGACAGGAGGAGAGAGGGACTCACCGGGGCATTGGGAGCAGCAGGGATGGAGGGAGGGGAGAGGCGGCCGGAGACAGCGCAGGAGGCGCAGAGGCAGGGCACGGCAATCATGGCTGCTGCTGTTGCCACCCCCACCTGCAGCGCCTGCTGCTGCGAGCCCAGCTGAATCGTGGTGTAGAACGCCCTGATGGACGGAGGGGTGGGATGGGGAGATCATGGGCGGATGGCTTTTGAGTCGACTCAAAAATAAACTCAGCGCCTGCTGCTGCAAGCCCAGCGGAATCGAGGTGTAGAACGCCCTGATGCACGGCGGGACGGAGAGATTATGGGTAGATGGATGGCAAGCAAGGCGGGAGGGCGGTGGGGAGGGAGTAAGGTAGGACAAAGCTTAAGATGGGCTTTGGCTGGGCCATTCACGGGTGATATTGGATTGATTGAAGCGCATGAGTGATGGAAGATTCTAGGGATACGTGAAGTACGAGGCTCTCCTGGACTGGACAGAGAGGTGGAAGAAGAGTGCACCTGAGCGGGCCTAGGGAGCGACGTTCCAACGCTGCTGCGAAAGAGGAAGTCGCTGCTGCTGCTGTCTGGTGCAAAGAGACACGGCCAGGAAGAAAGGGGAGGGGGACGGGGGGGAGGAGGGCGGGAAAGGAGGGGGGGGGAGGAGGGGGCGGACAGGGGGAGGGGGAGGGGAGGAAAGGGGAAGGCATGCACGAGGGTTGGGCTTCCCTGAGTGGCAAGGATGACGTGTGTGCATGCTTGCGAGCTTGCGAGCGTGCGTGCTTGCGAGCGTGGGAGCGTGCGTGTGCATGGCTTGTGGTGTGGACTAACTATCTGTGAAGTTGCGCAGACGCGCACGTATGTTCCAACAAGAAGGAGAGTGCGTGTGCACGTGGGGGTGGGGACTGTAGCGTGTACCTGGGCGATCAGCTGCCGTGGTGCTGGTCTCTTCTTCAATGGGAGGGATAAAGAGCTAACAACTCTCTTGCCGCCGCCGCCGCTGCCGCCACTGTTGTTGCTGCGGCTGCTGCTAGTGTCAGCAGGGTTCTTGGGTTGACTGGTTGGGCTGCGTTGACCAGGTTGACTGCGTTGACTCCAGGGCGGCTTCCATTGCTGCACGCCTCTCTGCCCGCTCCTCCGCGCCTGCCCACGTGGGCTGTGCCCAGACGCCACGTGCCTGCTGCTGAACCTGAATCCTCCTTCCTTCCCTCCTCCTTCGCCTCCTCGCGTCCCTCCTCCCTCTCCTTCGCTCCAACCACTCGCACCAGTAAAAGCCAGTGCCTGGCCTTCTCGCCCTTCTCTCCCTTCCCGCACTCCTCTCTCTCCTTTCCCCTCCCTCTCTTCTCCCCCTGCGCCCCACGCCTCCTCTCGCGCCACTCCTCCTGCCCGCGCGCCGTTCCTATGCGCCGCCACCTCGTGAGCGCGGTCGCCGCCAGACGCCAAGCTGCGCCTTTCGACCTGATGGCGCGGGGAGGGGCGCACACGGGCGGGAGGGAGACGGGAGGGGGGTGAAACGGACGGAGAGGGAGGCGCGCGGAAGAGCGGGGGAGCAGGCGGAGAGCGCCACATGGGAAAATCAGGGCGGAAACGAGAGTGCGCGAAGTAGGGGCGTAGGCGGATGGCGACGACACGCGGACCCATGCGTGAATCGATCAACCAGGAGACTCGAGCTCATTACGAAACTCTGTCCGCACGCTCGGGCGTGGATGCACAATGTGCATATCACGCAAATATAATTTGACGGGACTATATTTCTCGACAGCGGACGCTGTTAACAGTCGCGCTAAAGAACCCCAACACCGCGCCCCACGTACCCGCGGCCATTGAGGAGCCTCTATCCGCGCGCTGCTTCCCCCCGTCGCCTCCCGCTTCTCCCGCCGCATCAGCACCGTCAACTGCGCCGCCATTTGAATCAGTGCCAGTGATAGCGCCATCGCCAGCACCACCACGACCAGCGGCGCGCGCGGAGAGCCTACCGCGCGCGCACGCGCGCGGGGGACTCCGCTCTGTGCGGGGGGAAGGGCGGTAGGCGTCATTGCACTACGGAGGGTGTTTGCTCTGCGGCTAGCGCTGTTGAGCGGCGATGACGCACGAGCGTTGTCTGTAATTAGCGGCCTAAAGCTTCTGTTACGTGAGCCCGAAATGCCTGCGTCCTAGCGCCATTCTAGGTGAAAGATACTAACCAGCAGGGCTTATTCTAGACCACAACTGTAGGCTCAACAGTGTAACGAGTGAGCAACAAACGAACGAGCGAGGAGGAATCAGCGACAGTGAGGCGAGGTGAGAATGCCCAAGGAAATATCGCGGCTGGAAATGGAGACATCCGCTGTCCTGGCCAACCAAGCCGCACCAATGCTGTGCTGAAGCAGGCTGGTTGGTTTGGGGCGGGTATATATTCGACAGAGGACGTCGGCGGGACGAGAAAAAACGATGTCGAGGTTGGGATATGGGAAATCAAGATAAAGAAAGTATACACATCAATAACACCAAGTCATGTAATAACTAACTCCCTTTCAAAAGTACTGTTTTAATCGGAAATAGTTATAAGGGACAAATCATTCTTGATAGAAACAGATCCAATGTAGGAAGGAAAAGGTCTATGTAGCAATTGTGATTTCAATCCAAAATTTCACGGCCTTACAGCCTTCTCGAGCTACACGTGAGGTATGCTAAGAGCTGTTTTAGTAACGAGTACGCAGCCCTTCCACAACAGAAACAGAACAGACAAGGGTTTAGACGAAACAGACAGAACTGCCCCTGAACGGTGCGTTTCGGTGGGCGCTATCTGCAGCTGGGCGAGAGGCAGGAACGAATCAAATTGCAGCCTTTCCCATCAAAATGCAGCCCTCGCACCCACCTGGTGACCGCCACATGTGCCGTCCGCTCCGCATTTACAATTCCCTGCTGCAGGTGTACAGTACAGGTGTTGAAGACACCCAAGTGCCACTTTGTACGTGTACAGTGCACAATAGTTCCCACAGTGCGGTACTGCAAGACCTACGATGCACGCAAATTTCCTCACAACAAACCACGCCCTTAGAACGATTGTTGCTTTTTAGTTGCACGAATTTCCCCCCCCCCAGCCCTCAGATTTCGTTTGCGAAGGACTCTTGTTAGGGCAGCCAGGAATACTAAGCAGAGCGACACTTCTTGTTACTTATCAATGGCTGCTCCTCAGGCGCGACTGCTCCTGTTACATTTCCTGTTTCTCTCAGCTCTTCTCACTCTCTTCCACGGGCCATCTCGAGCGGATTTATTAAAAGCCACCAGAGATCCCCTTCATTCCGTTCCAGCAGCCGTTGATACTGACACCCCTCGCCCATCTGATGGCGTTGCGACTAGCACCGCGTCCTCCCCACCACCTGCTCCCTCCGCCCGCGCTGCCGCTCCATCCGCTAAGCCTAGCTCGGCGTGGGAGCGCGCGATAGCAGCGCTGAAGCCCGCGATGTACGGCGCGGTGGCCGCAATGTCCGTCGACGCGGAGAGCGATGTGCCGACTGATGCGCTCCGCCCCCTGCTGGCGCCCGACGTGGTCGTCACGGCCAAGGTCCGCCTGCTGAACGCGGCGAATCTTACCTCCTCCGGGATAGTTTGGCAAGGGCTGACCTGTCCTTCGAATGGCACGCTGAAGCCGCCCTCTCCTACCGCCGCGCTGCTGTACCTGCGGTTCGAGCAGCGCGCCGAGTCGCAGAACTCGGCGACGCCTCTGACGTCGCGCACGTGGCCTTTCTCCGGCTCGGCGCAGCCCTCGCCCGTCTACGCCGCTCCGCTCGCGTTCCTCTCGCCCATCGTCTCCTTCCGCCTCTACCCCGGTACTCCCGTGGGACCAGCGGCGCAGCAGAAAGAACTCAGCCTGGTGGGGCTGGGAGGGAGCGTAATCGGAGCTGGTTTTATGCTAGTATCTTTTAACGTCTCAAGAGCTCTTCTTGCTCAGCCACGTGCTTGCACTCTGATAAATATCGACGGGGGTATAGACCAGCAGACAATGTCTATATCGAGCGCAGCCGACATTGCAGAGTGCAGCAGGCTGAGCACGTTCAACAGCAGCTACTTCTTGGTTCTCACAGAGCCGGTGGGCATTCAATACCAGGTCAAGTTTCCGCCACCCCCTCCGCCATCCCCTCCGCCTCCGCCCAGCCCCCCTTCTCCGCCTCCGCCTCCCCTTGCTCCTCCTCCCCCGGCCCCCCCCGCTCCGCCTCCGCCCCCCGCAGCTAGTGGCAGCAACACGGCGCTGATCATGGGGATAGGCATTGGCGTGGGCCTCGCGGTGTTGCTCTTGGCTGGCATTGTGGCGGCGCTCGTCTATATCTGGACGGTCAGGCGGAAAAAGAATGCGCAATCACAGCCTGAGGGGAAGGTGGGCCGGGCACAGCTCCTGGCTGTGATGGCATCAGTTAAAGGCAGTTCAAGAAATTCTCAACGTTCAAGCACATCCAGTTCAGTTAATTAAAGCCACTAATGTGTGCTAGTAGCTGTAATGGTACTGTAGTCTAGAGGGTACAACATGATAGTATGAGTGAATTCCGACCGTATTTATGACACGTCTCTATAGGTGTGCTAGTATGCTGGTTATTCTACCGTATGGTTGTGCTAGTGTGCTAGTTATGCTACTTATCTTCATATTAACATCGATACATTCATTGACGGTTTTGTCGAGCTAGAGGGGGCAGTGGCCCTGAACAGGATGTCCAGCCGAAGTTGCAAGCGACATTCACGGATCTGCCCGTCCATCTGCCCGGAATGGATCTGGTCGCATCTCAAGGAACAATCAATATGCAATTTCTCCTAACCAGCCAGTGGCCAAGTCGGGGTCGGTCGGGCGGGGCCTCCTGTCGTGGCAGCGCCTCCTGCTTCCCTCCGTCCTCCGTCCTGGCTGCCCTCACTCACCCTCTGTCCCCGTCACCGTTACTGTACCGTCGATCCCACCTGTTCTGTCAGACACACCACCTAGTCCTACTAGACGTAGTGACAAGCTTCTAATGATGCCCTACACAAAACGATTAGTTCCTGATTTCTGAACGTACCCTGCGGCTTCGTCCGTCCTGCAGCCGCTCGTCATCCCCCCATAGGACACTAGCGCCCATCAGTGGGGTTAGGGCACAAGTTAATACTGCCAATCCATTCCCATGGCGTCATCCGCTGTGGGGTCGGTCGTAGTCTCTTCTTCCCTCACTCACGCCGCGGCTCGTCGCCAACCCACAGCCATCGTTCGCGATAGCTCCACGCAGGCCAGCGCGAAACGAACCGCCAGACAACGCAATGCCGACCTCCCTTTCCGCCAATTCCCGCATTTTGCCAGACCCGCCAACACACAGACCCGCAGAGTCAACGGGTTCCGCCTTTCCGCCTACGCGGAAGCCGCGTCGGAAAGCGGAAGACCAGCAGGCGGATCCGCGGGGCAGGCGAGCGGAAGAGCGGGATCCGCGGGCAGGGGGGACTCGTCGAGCGGGGAATTCGTGGACACGCGCATTCATTGGAGCTCCCCGGACGAGGGTTGGGTGGGCGGCAACAGCAGCGGGTTCAGTTCTGAAGAGGAGATCGAGGCGCGGTCGAACGACGCGGGGCTGCGCACCGCGATGAGCCGCGATATGCAGCTGCTGATTATGTCCAACTCCAACAACCACTACACGTACGCGCCGCGCTCTTTCGTCGCACGCACTTTAGGTCGCGAATCGCGATGGTTAAAAAGGCTTTAATTTTGTTGCCAGCGGTCGCGCATTAGTTTCCAATGATTGTGCGCCACAGGACAAGGCTGCTGGGTGTCAGAACTCGCCATTGGCGACAGTCACTCGCGGACGGTGGCAAACGTCACAATGATCAATATTACATAGTGATTCTGAACTTCCAGCGTATGTACTCACAACCTTACAGGATTGATAACAGAAATGAATTGGCTTGATTGCTAAAATTGAAGTTAAAAGTAACACAACGTTACAGACTTGATAACAACCATTCGTTACCCAACCCCCCTTTTCTCTCTCCACCTTTCTCCCTCCCTCCTCCTCCCCCCCCTCGTCCCGCCCCCTTCTCCCTCCCCTTTCCACACCCCTTCCTTTTCTCCCTATCCTTCCCCTCCCCCCTGGTTTTGCACACTTTGTCATCCCACCAGCGTGCTGGCGGTGTCTCCCCTGGCGGACACGGACGACGTGAAGGCGGCGTACCGGCGGCTGTCGAAGCGGTTCAAATCATAACGATTTCAATTGGACAAAACACCCTCTCGTCACCCATCTCCCCCTTCTCTCTCTCCACCGTTCTCACTCTCCTTTCCACCCCACTCTCCCCCTCCCGCTCCCCTCCTCCCCCCTCCCTCTCTCCCTATTCTTCCCCTCCCCCTGTCCCCCCCCCCCCCCTGGTTTTGCACACTTTGTCATCCCACCAGCGTGCTGGGTGTGTCTCCCCTGGCGGACACGGACGACGTGAAGGCAGCGTACCGGCGGCTGTCGAAGCGGTTCCACCCCGACACGACGCGGCTGCCGCTGGCGCTGGCGGAGCAGCAGTTCGTGCGGCTGAACCAGGCGTACGAGGTGCTCTCCAGCTCCGAGGACCGCCGCCTCTACGACTGGAAGCTGTACGGCGGGCACGGGGGGGAGAGAGGGAGGGATGGCGGGAGAGAGGAAGGGAGGGAGAAAGGGAGGGAGGGAAAGAGATTGGTTGGTTGGGGGAGAGGGATGATGGGAAGGGGGGAGGAAGAATAGGGAGGGACAAGGGAGTGAGTGAGGGAGGGTTAATGGGGAGGGAGGGATGGGAAAGAGAGCTTGTGCGTGGTCTATTGCATTTGTCCGCGCAGGAAATTTAATGTTCTTAACAACATGGGAGCTCCTCTTCCCCCGGCTCCCCAGTATCCCACTTATTATATGATACTTCCCTCTTTCTACATTGCAGAGCACAAGAAGCATCTGATGCGCGTGGCGGGCGGTTTGTGTGGCCGTATGAGGTGGACCGCACCCAGAGAGGAATGGGCTCACGGGACCCTCCCTCCCCTGTGGGCAGGAGAGGCCCTGGGGAGGATGAGAATGACGTTCCACTTTCAGATGGCTCGATCACAGCGCTTGCATTTGATGCATTCGCTGTGCTGATTGCGGTTGCTTGTATTTGTTATGCAGCCTTTTTCAAGGGGAACTGATAGGACCAGTCACAGTATTTGCTATATTTTCACTTGTAAAGCGTAATAACATTTTCTAGAGCAAGAGATCACTGGTGTTTCTAAAGCATGTGGAAACCGCAAGAGGGAGATGAGGCTGTACCAGTAGTAAAACTTGCAAATGGCTTCAATATTTCTCATTAAAAACGTGTACACGTTTACAGAGAGTATCCTAACTCCTAATTCAAACCAAAGCAGCACACAATCAAAGCTGCCTACCTCAGGGAGCATCATATAATCTCAGTCTACTACCTAGATCAGGGCTCCCAATCTCAAACCCGTGTGCGCAGCTCTTTCACGAGCATTACGCAGTCACTCAAAACGAAGCGTATGTACACAAAACTGTTACTTTCGCGTAAGTTCGCGTAAGTTCCGCTCTCGTTTTCTGTGATTCACTTGAGCCGGTACCCAAATGACACACTTACGCACCAAGAGTGATGGCCCTCACGCGCCGCCTTTCAAAAACGCGACCGGCCGCTTCCAGCTTGGCCTCCCGCGCGATCTGCGGAAGCATATCGCCATGGAGCTCCTCCGCAGCAGCTGACCGCTGGATCGCCTCCGTATGCCTGGGCCACGCGCAACGGGGGCCAAGAGGAATTTCCGCTGGTGTTGGCGCAGTGGTTGCGGGGACCCCGCGGGGCCAGGCGCATCTTGGGCCCTCTGCAACTGCAAGGGCCGGCGCAGGAGCAACAGCGGAAACAGCGCGGGGCCAGGCGCACCGCGGCCCTTCCACAGCCTGAGGCGCAGCCGCTTCCGTCTGGACTAGCGCCCGCTCGAGCAGCGCCTGGACGTCGGAATTGGCCACCTGGCGCGGCCACGCGCACCTTGGGCGCTCAACAGGCGCCGTCTCCGCGGAAGCGACAGCGCTGGCTGCGCGAGGCCAGTTGCAGCGGGCGCCGGGGGTAGTAGTAGCTGCCGCATGTGGCGGGGATGCAGCGCGCGGCCACAGACACCGAGCAGCCTCCGCTGCAGCCGATGATGATTTGTGCGGCCACGCGCAGTGCGCGCCGATGGTTGCGGCGGTGGGGGCGGGGTAGAGGCCGGGGAGTGCGGAGAGAGCTGTCGGTCGGGGCCAGGCGCAGCGGGGACCGGTGGAGGCGGCGGGTGAAGAGCGCGGCCAGGCGCAACGGGCGGCGAGAGCAGGGGATTCGGCGCGAGAGGCGAAAGTAGGATGCGCAGCGGAAGCCTTGCGAGGCCACTCACAGCGCGCGCCAGCTGCAGCGACGGCAACTGCGCGCGGCCACTCGCACCTTGCAAAAGCGGCGGGGGAAGCAGCCTCGGTCACAGCGAGCATGGCCAGAGCAATCGCCGCGGTTTCGACTGGTGCAGGTGTGGAACGCAAAATTGATCCTTGTCGAGGCCAATTGCAACGGGGATAGACAGTCGCTCCGGCTTGCTGTTGCTCTTGCCTGGGCAAGATGCACTGCGGGCGAAGCATCGTCTCAAGCTGCTGGATCTCCGCGTAAAGGGCCTCGCGGCAGAGTTCCCGCTCAAACGCGGACAGGTACGCAGCCGGGGATCGCGGAGGCGCCGTGCGCTTACGTGAGTACGACCACGCGAAGTCCAGTTCGTCGAGAACGGGCGACAGGCCCTGCGCGCGAAGGAGCAGCCATTCAATGGCAGCGGGCGTGGAGGCCGGCGGCTGGCGAAGGTTCATCTCGCTGGCGAGGAGAGGAAGTGGGTCGGCGCACGTGCCGTCGCCCCAGGCGATCTGTTCCATTTTGCGATTCTTGTGAAGGCTCTTTTGGGAGCTGACCGTTTGAGTGAACGGCCGCACGGCGCGCAGGATCTGGGGACGATTGTCGCGGCTGTGTTTGGAGAGAGGGCGACCGCTCAGCTGCGGAGCGCTGAGGTTGGGAGTGCTACTATCTGGAGGCGGCGACCCGCCTCGTCTCGCCATGGACGACGATGGCGCATGGCTGATGATGGGCTGCGCTGCGACTATAGACGAAGCCATTGAAAGCGTGTGTCTAACGATATCTAAGCAAGGCTGGGAAACTGAAACGCTGGAAAACTGGAGCTTTGTCCTGGATGGAAGATAGCAGGTTTCTGTCTGAAAATTCGTGGAGAAGCTCTGAAGATGGGAATGGAGAATAGCGTTCTCAAATGCAAGCGATTATGAAGTGGAGCCAGCAATTTGCGACTCGGAGACACCGTGGAACAACCACTGAACCAACAACAGTGCGTGCTGGTGACGCAACGTGAGTTCAGGTAGACCAAGCAAGCACTGACAACTAAGATTGTAGGAGCGTTCGTAACGTTGGCATGAGAAGGCAAAGCACAACGAAGCAAAGGAGGCACAATGAATGGATTCCTCTTTCCTTCAGAACTGCCCCCATTTATGACACGACGCAGCCACCTCAACTCCACCGCACAGCGGTGCAGTGCGGGATTCAGCGGCGGAAGATGAAGATGCGGTGCGAGCTCGACGCGCCGCGGGTGGGCACTGGGCAGGTGCAGGTCTTTCACCAGCGTGGCTGAGGTGGTTGGGAGCCCTGCTGACCTGCGGACCCATCAGCTGCGCCGGAATGATGTGGCAATGCGGTTGGGTACACGTCATGCCACACAAGGTAGGGACAGTTTGTTGATGCCGAAGAATCTTTCTATTTGCGGCTCGCGTGTCACTGAATCATTCCAGAAGGAGTCCACGACGCGATTAGGTCAGCAAGCAAAGGAGGCCTTCTCTTATCCCTCAAGCGTCGCCGGAGTGCCCTACGTCTGGTTCTCAAACGCAGCCTGACCTGGATGGGGCTGTTTTTGACGTGGTCATGTCCAAAGCTGAAAATTCTGGATTGGTTGGGCTTATTTGCTCTCCCAGACCAACCAACCACCCAGAAAACGGGCCAAGAAACCAGGGCCAGAAACGGGGACCTCCCAGTGTAGTGCTGTACCAACAAGCGAATTGGGGGAAGCAACATCGGATCGTGTTCGTAAGGTCTGACCAAGTTCCTGGCAATTCGGGCTACGCCACCAGCACAACGGTTGGCACGTGGCACATGGTGGAAACGGTTTGTTTTGATCGATAACCACACAAAACTAAAACTTAGCACCCTGATCAATACGTTCCGTTCGTAACTTATTCTCCCTTTCCGATTTGGCTGGCAACAATACTCACGGCTTGCGGCTTTCCCCCATTGGGTATTCACTAAGAGCTCGAGCTAAAAAAAAACTCACACTTCACAGTTCGGTGACGAGCAATCACTGGTATTGTGGTGGAAAATAAATATCAGCCAGCCAGGCTGACGCGGCGGCATGTGTGGATGATTTGCAATGAGTGCAACTGAGGCCGAAGGTGTCGGCGGCCGCATATTCCATTCGCAACGCCGTTGTGGGTTTGGTTGCATCCGTGACTGTGTACTGTAAATTTTGATTACACGTGATAGGTACGTTACACACCTGAGTAGTTCACCACTAAGAAACATATCCTTACCTTTTCACGTTTCTGGGGTGATTTGGAAAGCTAGGGCACCAGCATTTGCCAGTCTGAACACCCTAATAAGAATGTGTCATATGCTTCTCTATAATGTTGTCAGCCTGAAACCGCTTCTCTTGATGTCCAGTCAGCGGCCAGGCTGTCAGGAGATAAAACGGTTTTAGAAAAAGAAAGGGAATGAAGAAAGAAAGGGAGAAGGAAAATGAAACTGCCAAAAAGAACCCAAATGCAACACACATAAAACCCCCCCACATGAAACATATCCTTACCATGCTAGAATGATCATATTCATATAAGTTATAGCTTCGTGAGCTTCCAATACACGTTTCATGCAACCGCTGTCAAATGTGACTATTTCAAGGTTTAATATATATTTTCATGTTTACATATATATATATATATATATTCATCGGATATGCATATGTAAATACATATATTGTCAAGTATTTTTTTCTGGTAATTCCCTAATCTGGAATTGAAATGTGCTATATGTAATATTAATTCTGAACATGCATATTCTGTAAGTTTAGTTTTTTATTATCATTTTCTTTGTGTTCTGTTCTGATATAGGTTTCACTTTTCTCCTAGACGTTGTACACTCGCACGTTTTATTGTAAGCTGATAGCGAGCCCGCTGAATAGGAAGCGTGTGGTGTGGTTGGCGGGTTTGCTTGATCGGCGAGGCGACCAACATTCACGTGCAAGCAACGTGCGGCGAGAATGCTATGAGGGGACAGCATTTGTAACACTAGCTGGTCACTCAATAACCCGAATTCACAGTCGTGTCTTGTCGTCAGCCTATTACAGCGAGTCGTTCCTTTTGTGTTTGGAGTGAGTACCACACCACATGCCTGCCACATCTCCACGTCACATATTCGTCACGAATTACAGCGCCAATACCAGCCCAGCCAATCCCACAAATTCCTCGATTTTTGCTGCGACTAGACCGAGGGGCAGTGAGTGGACCGATTTTTCAAACACGAGTTTCCGGAAGCGCAAGCGCTGATTACGAGTCACCTTGATAAATAGTTCTTTAAACTACTGGTACCGCTGATTTAACAGCAATATGGTTAATAGACCGCAGTCCGCAAACAAGGATTCATGTTTGACGTGCCCTAGATGTCTGACCTGTACAGAACCAAGGATACTGAATTGACAACAGTGCAGCCTTCCCTCGCCTCGCCGCCTCCCTTCCCATCCCATCACATCCCCTCACGAGCTCTTGCCTTGCCAGATCTGTCTTTTTGTTGGATGTTAGGGGAATCTGCTTACCTCCAATCAAGGGTTTAGCTGTTCGTCTAGGCTATAGTATTCCCTATTGCTCGACTCCATCCTTGGATCATGCTCGTAGCTCTTTCGTAGCCTCTGGTTTCGTTGAAGCCATGCGAAAGCTGGCGAGTCGCCGCCAGCGTGAATGGCTTCCATGTCGAATCTGATATTCTGTCAAGAGCATCGCCGATTATAAGGCTTGATCGTCCTGTTTGTTACAAGAATATATTGAGACTCTGGCCTCGTGAATAAGGCTTCACAGCTGGGCTCTGCGCGTTTGTGGGCCGCCTGACTTGCTGCTCATAAGGTGTGAATTCGCCGTTCCTTCATTCTTCAGAAAGCGAGCTTCCAAGGCTTGCGTATATGTCCTGAGACATTCTTAGGTAACCGTCGACTGGATGCGCGTCTGCCTTCGTTGAGTCTCCAGAGATTATGCAGCAAAAGTCGCGAATCTCGTTCAAGCGTCGTGTCATATGTCAAGCGGCCGTTAGATTCGCACAACGAACGCACGGATGGGAACGTGCGCGAAGGGAGCTGGTGGTTTTGCAGAAAAGGTTGTCCCGATGAGTGAGATCAGGGAAGAGACTGGGCGTTAAGAGGATTCGTTGTCCGCTTTATGATGTTGACATTGGGAGGAAGTTAGGCACCTAAGAGCTGAGTGTGGGATCGTGCACGGATCGCTGCAATCGCTGGACGGGTTTGCATGGGATTCGCGCCCTCCGATCTGAGCACTAGTCATGCTTGTCCATATTGCTTCATGTCTTGTCCTCACACGTCTCACGACACCCTTTTCTCTTCATGATCCTCTGTTTTACGAATCGTTTTTACTCCCTTCTCTCGTCACGCCACCAATCCTGTAACGCCCTCGTCCTCCTTCGCCCCCCCCGCAACCATGATCAGCGGAAACTCCTGCGCGACTTGCGCTTATTGAAATGCAGCCATGGCTTCTTCAGCTGCCCGCTGCCCGCCGGCGCACTCTCGCGCTCGGCGCAGCGTTGCTGGTGGGCGGGGGGGGCGCAGCAGCGGTCGCTTATTACAGATCCGTCGCCGTCGCGGCAGCTGTTAGGCGCAGGGAAGCAAGAGCGGCGCTGTCGCAAACTGGCGCGTCAGAGGAACAGGCGGAGGGGGAAGCGGCGGCGCTGATTGAGGGGGCGGGGGACGAGGATGGCAGGCGGAAGAAGGCTTCGTGGAAGGGCAAGGGCGGGGAGGGCGGCGGAGCAGAGAAGGGGCGTCGGCGGAAGAAGGGGGGAGGGATGGCCTCGGTTGGCGCTATATGCAGCTTTCTGGCCGCGAGGATGGGCGAGAAGGGGTGGCAGCGGCTTGCTGCCTTAGCAGCCATAGCAGTAAGCGATCCGCGATTTACTTTTCTGGTTGTCATAACAACAGCCAAGCCGTAGCCATAGGTATACCTATCGCCACAGCGACATTCCGTTGCAACGATCGGCTGTGGTGTTTTGGCTTGGCCTTCTCGCGTCCCCTTCCACTATTGCTGCGTGCGCACCCCGTTCCTCCTCCCCTTGCCAACACCATCCCCATCTCCTCATCTCAACCCTCTCATCGCCTTCTTTCCCATCTCCCGTCTCTCACTTCCCGTCTCCCATCCCCCCATCTCCCACCTCCCACCCGCCATCCCCCCTTCTCCCCGTCCCCCTTCTTCTCCCCCCCCCCCACCAGGTGGTGCGCACGGTGCTGAGCAACCGCCTGGCGCGCGTGCAGGGGCTGCTGTTCCGGTCGACGTTCCTGCGCAACGTGCCCCAGTTCACGCGCCTGATCACGGAAAACCTGCTGCTGTGCCTCGCGCACTCGCTCATCTTCTCCTCCTCCAAGTTCCTCACCGGCAGCCTGTCCCTCCAGTGGCGCTCGCTGCTCACCGCCGCCATTCATAAGCTCTACTTCAAGGTACGGGGGATGGGTGGGGCGTGTTGCTGCGCGTGCGGAAAGATGGGGCGGTGGGAGGGGGGGTGTATCTCAGCACGTGGGGGGGGTGTTTGCGGCGCAACATACACTGCTTTCTACCTAGCCACTCCCTCAACGCCCCCTTCCTCTCCACCGCCCCCAAAACATCCTTCCCTCAAGTTGTTAACCCTATCTCTCTCTCTCTCTTCCGCCGCATGTCGCACGTGCACAAGGGCATGAGCAACGTGTGGATAGTACATCACATACTGCTTCCTTCCCTTCCAATCAGCCCTTTCCTCGCTCTCTCCACAGCCCACCCCCCCCACTTTCCCCCGGGGCATGGTGTACTATTGCATGTCGCCCGTGGACAAGCGAGTGGACAGGCGCTCCAATCGCCTCCTGCCTCGCTCCCCTTCCCTTCCCCCTCCCCGTTCCCCCCTCCCTTCCTCCCCCCCCCAGGGCATGGTGTACTACCGCATGTCGCACGTGGACAAGCGCGTGGACAGCGCAGAGCAGCGCATAGTGAGCGACGTGCCGCACATCTGCAACGAGCTCGCGGACCTGCTGCACGACCTGCTCGTCGCCGCCACTGATGCCACCTTCTACACCTACTCGCTCACCACCTACACTCACCCCAAATACGCCGGGGGGATTTTGGTGCGTGTGGGGGGGGGGGGGAGAGGGTTGGGGGTGGGTGGGAGGTGGGGGAGAGGCGAGAGAGGTTGAATGGGTTGTGGGGGGGCGTAGAATGGTGTAGGAGGTGGCATGGAACCAGGTGGCGAGGGCATGGGGTGGCGGAGGGCGCACATCTGCAACGAGCTCGCGGACCTGCTGCACGACCTGCTCGTCGCCGCCACTGATGCCACCTTCTACACCTACTCGCTCACCACCTACACGCACCCCAAATACGCTGGCGGGATTCTGGTCAGTGTGGGGATGGGGGGGGGGAGGTGTTTGGCGGGTTGGAGCGAAGGGGGAAAGGTTGAATGGGTAGTGGGGGGGTGTGGAGTGGTGTTGGATATGGTGTAGAAGGTACCATGATGGGTGATCAACCGGATGGCTCGGCCTTGGGGTTGGTAGGTCTCCCCTCCTTGTGGTGAGTAGCCATCCCTCCCTCCCCATCTCCGCTCCCCACCTCCCTATCCCCGTCCCCCAGGGATACGTCCTGGCTGCGGGAGCCCTCACGAGCGCACTTGCCCCACCCTTCGGCAAGCTCCTGGGCAAGGAGCAGCAGCAGGAGGGCGAGTACCGGCAGCTACACGCTCGCGTGCGCACACACAGCGAGAGCATCGCGTTCTACGGAGGCCACGGCCGAGAGGGCGCGCTCATCTCCCAGGCGTTTTCCGCCCTTGTGAAGCACAGCGCAGGCGTGTTACGGACGCAGTGGTGGTTCGGAATAGTGCAGGACTTTCTGCTGAAGTACTGTGGGGCTACTTGGGCCGTGGTGCTGATCATAGGGCCGTTCTTCGGCGCGAGCATGCAGACGCAGGGGTCGAGGGAGGCGCGTGCGGAGATGCTGTCTCGCATGCGGTACCACACGTCCGTGGTCATTGCGCTGTTCCAAGCCATGGGCACCATTGCCGGTAGCTCCAGGCGTATCATCCGGCTCAGGCAAGTGGGTTGCAATGGATGATGGATCTGAGGAGATTTTGATCGTATATTTCCATGGTTTAGGCAAGTGGGGCAGGGTCGCATTTCAGCTGTCTTAATCGTGGGCACCACTGCGGGTTCGTATGGTCCGAATCTTGTGTCGATTGGTCGTCTATCTCTTACGTGCCACTGTGTTTCCTCTCCTCTCCCTCGTTCCCACCACTGCAGTGGGTATGCAGACCGCATTTGTGAGCTCATGCAAGTGGCTAAGGACTTGAGCCAGCAAGACGCGCACATGCACTCTCAGGAAGACGGAGCAGAAGGAGGAGGAAGACGAATCAGCGAGGGGGAGAGTCATACACAGGTCCTGGCAAAGGCAGGGAAGGCGGCGCAAGGGGATGGGGAGGGGGAGGGCGAGGGCGGTGGTAGCGGCGGTGGAAAGTTTGCGGAGGCCAAGTATATAGAGTTTGAGAACGTGACGGTGGTGACGCCGGCAGGAGCGAAGCTGGTGGATGGGCTGACACTGCGAGTGAACCCGGGAGAAAACCTGCTCATCACAGGTGAGTCAGCCTGGCAGCCTGGCAGCCTCTTGCTGTGTGTTGAGTCGACTCAGAGCACACCAGGAGCGAAGCTCGTGCATGGACATGGGCTGATGTTGCAAGTGAACCCGGGAGAGAACCTGCTCATCACAGGTGAGACAGGCAGTATGTTACTTTTCCCCCTTCTCCTCTCCTCCAACCCCTCTTCCCTTTCCTCCCTGCCAAAGTTTCCCCCCCTTTCCACCTCCCTCCCCGCCCGTTTCCTTCTCTCGTCTGCTGCTTCTCAGCCTTTCGTTTATTAACATTTGGATGCGGCACACCCTATACTTATACCTGCATTGACCCCTCTGCCCCCCTCTCATGATTTGCACCGATTCTGACTCCCCTCAAGCTCTCAGCGCTCGCTTTATCAGCATCCTCCCATCCTGTAACCCATCACCATCATATCTCTCCCTCCTCCTTCTCGTCTCCCAATTTTCTCCTGTCCTCTCTTCATCTTCTCCTCCCCCCCCAGGCCCCAACGGCAGTGGCAAGAGCAGTCTATTCCGAGTGCTGGGCGGGCTGTGGCCCCTCGTGGAGGGCCGAATCAGCAAGCCTGGGCGAGCAGCGGACCTGAGTCACGACATATTCTACGTGCCGCAGCGGCCGTACATGGCCATCGGCACCCTTCAGGATCAGCTCGTGTACCCTCTCACTGCCAACGACCTCCCGGAGCCTCTGCAGGAGGAAAGGCTAAGGGAGATGCTGCGCGTGGTGAGTGCTGCTCGTGGTTGAATGTTGAAATGGTGATTGCTGAGAGAATTTTTGAGTCGACTCGCGGCCGTACATGGCCATAGGCACACTGCAGGACCAGCTCGTGTACCCCCTCACTGCCAACGACCTGCCGGAGCCCCTGCAGGAGGAGCGGCTAAGGGAGATGCTGCGCGTGGTGGGTGCTGCTGGGGCCGGAGAGCTGAACTCGACGGGGAGCGTTGGGCTGTGGATGGGGGTGTGTGCCGGCGTGGGTCTGTGTGCGTGTGCGTGCGTTTGTGTGTGCGTATGTGTGTGCCGGAGTGCGGGTGTGCTTGTGGGCCGGGGGTGTGTGTTGCCTGCTCCACACGTCTCTACCTCAGTTCTCTTATTGTCCTGTCTTGTTGATGAGCAGTTGACTTGGAGGACCTGGTGGACCGGTATGGCATGGAACGGGAGGTGAACTGGGTGGAGTGGAGGAGTCAGTCCCCCTTTCTCCCTTTCTTTCCACTGGATATGCAGGTTGACTTGGAGGACTTGGTGGACCGGTACGGCATGGAGAGGGAGGTGAACTGGGGCGAGGAGCTGTCGCTGGGGCAGCAGCAGCGCTTTGGCATGGCGCGCCTGTTCTACCACGCACCTGCGTTCGCCATTTTGGACGAGTGCACCAGTGCTGTCACCACTGACATGGAGGAGAGGTGTGTGCGCTGTGTGCGGTGTGTGCAGTGTATGATATGATTGGAGTGTTGTTTGGGAATGATGAGAAACGCGCTTGTCAGTGTGGTTGAGTGCCCCAGTGCTGTCACCACGGGCATGGAGGAGAGGTGCGTGCATTGTATGCGTCAGCGTTGAGCCATCGATGAGAATCTATGAAGCTGCATTTGCCATTGTGGATGAGTGCACTGGTGCTGTCACCCTATACACAAAGAGACGTGCGTCGTTAGGCACCTCAAACCCTTCCCCTCACCTTCCGCCCTGCCCTCCCCCTCACCTCTCCTCTTCCCCGTGCCCTCTCAGGTTCTGACGTGTGTGACCATCTCCTTTCGGATAAGCCCCTTACAATTCCTTTGAGCCGCCTCGAAAAGGTCCTCTTGTCTTTCAACCACCCTCTTCTCCCCACCCCCCCCCTCCCTGCGCTCCCTCAGGTTCTGTCGCCTGGTGGAGCGCATGGGCACGACGTGTGTGACCATCTCGCACCGCCCTGCCCTCGTGGCCTTCCATGAAACCGTGCTTGCACTCGATGGCGAGGGCGGCTGGACCGTGCACTACAAGACGTGAGTGGGGGAGGGAGGGAGGGGCGGAAGGGTGAAGGCTTTTGACTTTGGGTGCGCCTCACAAATGGAAACCGTGCTCGCACTCGATGGCGAGGGCGGCTGGACCGTGCACTACAAGACGTGAGTGAGAGGGGAGAGAGGAGAGGTTGGAGGCTTTTGACTTCGAGGCGCCTTACAAATAGAGACTGTGCTGGCACTTGGTGTGGAGGGCGGGTGGACCGTGAGTGTGGGGTGGGGTGGGAAGAGGGTGGGGCCGAGTGGGGAAAGGGCCTGAGGGAGGAGCTTTTCACATTTTCACCTGTGAAGCTCCGCGGAATGCGCGGAGGGCCACTTCTTTTTTTCCTTTGAGACGGACTACCACACGTCGCTTGCGCTCCTCCTTTCCCTCTTCCTCCTTTGTCCCTTTCCCCCCTCCTTGGTCTTACCTCCATCCCCAATCCCATCCCCATCCCCCACCTCCACCCCCCCATTCCCACCCCGCGCCAGCAACCCTTCGTCTCCAGGCTCCCCTGCGTCCATCGTAGAGCAGGTGGCGGGGGCAGAGGGGTCGCCCCGGGGCAGTGCGGTGGTGGTGGCGGGCCGCCACACATTCCCCTCGCTTGCCCTTCTCCCCCTTCTTCTGCCGCCTTTGTCCTTTCCACACTGCCTCATTCTCATCACCTTCCCCATCCTCATCCTCATTCTCCCATCCTCATGCCCATTCCACCCTCAACCCCACCCCCCGTACCAGCAACCCGTCGTCCCCAGGCTCCCCTGCGTCCATCGTGGAGCAGGTGGCGGGGGCAGCAGGGTCGCCACGGGGCAGTGCAGTGGTGGTGGCGGGTTACTGCACGTTCCCCTCGCTTGCCCTTCTCCCTCACCTTCTGCCATCCCATCCCATCCCCATCCCCATCCCCATCCCCATCCCCATCCCATCCCATCCCCATCCCCATCCGCACCTTTCCCCACCCCCCCACCAGCAATCCCTCGTCCCCAGGCTCCCCCGCGTCCATCGTGGAGCAGGTGGCGGGGGCAGCGGGGTCGCCACGGGGCAGTGCAGTGGTGGTGGCGGGCCGCCACACATTCCCCTCGCTTGCCCTTCTCCCCCTTCTTCTGCCGCCTTTGTCCTTTCCACACTGCCTCATTCTCATCACCTTCCCCATCCTCATCCTCATTCTCCCATCCTCATGCCCATTCCACCCTCAACCCCACCCCCCGTACCAGCAACCCGTCGTCCCCAGGCTCCCCTGCGTCCATCGTGGAGCAGGTGGCGGGGGCAGCGGGGTCGCCCCGGGGCAGTGCGGTGTTGGTGGCGGGCGGTGCGAGTGTGCGCGCGGGAGGTGTATCGGAACGCAAGGCGGACGCACAGGTCAACGCCACACACTTCCTGCACGCCACAGACAAGCACATGGTGGGGATTGGGGTGGGGGGGGGTTGGGGAAGGAGAGATTGGGGGAGCACATGCTGGGGCTGTGGGTGCTGGGGGGACAGGGGGGACTGGAGGAAGGCGGATGCGCAGGTCAACGCCACACACTTCCTGCACGCCACAGACGAGCACATGGTGGGGATTGGGAGAGGGGGGGGGGAGCGGGGAGGGGAGGACTGGGGGCTCCGTGGTGGAGAAGGTGCTTGAGGTGTCGCTAGGGGGGGTGGTGGGTCAGGGGGGTATGGGGTGAGGCGGACGCGCAGGTCAACGCCACACCATGTGCACTTCCTGCACGCCACTGATGAGCACGTGGTGGGGGCCTGTAAACGCACCTGGTGGGACTGGGAGACAGAAATGAGTGAGGGGAGGAGCAGGCGCAGGGAAGAGAAGGGGGTGAAGGAAGGGGAAGAGGTGCGGTAGCTTGGGTATTGCAACGCAGTAAGTGGCTGTTGTTAAAATATATATTGTGTAGCATGCCAACACATGTGACTGTACACCAATTGTGGTGTACAGTTGGGTTGGGACTACACCCAACTTTGGGTGTAGTCTTGCACTTTGGGGTGCCAATCCACCCAATTGTGGTGGAGCCCCCAAATGCAACCCTCTTGACTTGTGGGTACCTCACTTCCCACAATTGAGGTTACCCCAAGCCAAGTGGGCCTAGGGTTGCCTCACTTCTACAAAGTGTGGGCAACCCAACCCACTTGACCTATGGTTCCCTCACTTCCCCAAGTGAGGTCAACCCAACCTATGGTCACTTTCATCCTTCCCTTCCAACCTTCCCTTCCAACTATGTATGCTAGGTTGTTCCTCTAATCTGATCACTTGTTCAATTTGCTACTTTCACATGGTATAGAGCTACTTGTTCCTAGGCCTTACCTCTCCCTCCCTTCAGTTTTTTTTTTCCCATGGGCCCACCCCACAGCTACAAACCCTTTCCTACGCGTGGCTCAACTAGCCATCACTAGCATACTCTCGCCGCGACCTACGCCGTCGCCGCCGTTCCCCCCCCCCTCCCGCCGCGATTACGCCTTCCTCGCCTGCGGATTCCACCGCCGCGAGCGCAACGCCGCTGTCCCCTCCTCCCCCCCGCCGCGACCCCCTGTCGCCGCCTCCCCTTCTCGCCGCCGCGCCTGATTCGGCGCCGCCTGCGCATCCTGCCGCCGCGACGCCTCGTCGCCGCCTGCCCGCTGCCCGTCCCTCCGCCGCGACGTCACGTCGCCGCGTTCCCGCCGCCGCGCCTGCTACGGCGCCGCCTGCGCATCCTGCCGCCGCGACGCCTCGTCGTCGCCTGCCCGTCCCTCCGCCGCGACGTCTCGTCGCCGCGTTCCCGCCGCCGCGCCTGCTTCGGCGCCGCCTGCGCATCCTGCCGCCGCGACGCCTCGTCGCCGCCTGCCCGTCCCTCCGCCGCGACGTCTCGTCGCCGCGTTCCCGCCGCCGCGCCTGCTACGGCGCCGCCTGCGCATCCTGCCGCCGCGACACCTCGTCGCCGCCTGCCCGTCCCTCCGCCGCGACGTCACGTCGCCGCCTCCTCTTCCCGCCGCCGCGCCTGCTTCGGCGCCGTGTGCCCGTCCCGCCGCCGCGACAGCTCGTCGCCCCCTGCCCGTCCCGCCGCCGCGACCTAACATCGCCGCCTGCGCATTCCGCCGCCGCGACTGCTCGTCGTCACCTCCCCGCCCCCCCCCCCCCCCCCCCCCCCCCCCCCCCCCCCCCGCCGCGATTTCGCATTGCCGCCTCCCCTCCCACCGCCGCACCTGCTTCCGCGTCACCCACGCATCTCGCTGCCCCTTCTGCATCGCCACCCTCGCGCAATTTCCCCCGTCGCAACTGCAACATCGTCGCCCCGCGGTTCCCGTTAACGCCACTGCGCCGCCGCCGCCCTACCGCCGCGACTGCTTCGGCGCCGCCTGCCCATCCTCCACCGCGACCGCGCCATCCCCGCCCACACTTCCTGCCGCCGTGACTGCCCCGTCGCCGCCTGCAGATTCAGCCGCAACTGCACCCTCCCTTCCTCCTCTCCCTACTCCTCTCCCCCCCCCTCCCCCTCCCCCTGCGCCCCTCGTTGCCGCGGCCTGCCTGCCGCCGCCGTCCCTCGTTTCGCCGCCGCGGCCCTTCCGCCGTCGCCTGCGCCCCTCGTCGTCGCGGCCTGCTCGCCGCCGCCGCCCCCGACTTTGCCACCGCCTCCCCTTCCCGCCGCCGCACGTTCGCACAGCCGCCTGCGCCCTTGTCACCGTCGCTCCCTGCACCTTGAACGCCTCTGCCCTCCACCGCTGTCTCCCTCCTTTACCCCCCCCCTCCCTCCTCCTGCCAGCGGCAGCAGCAGCGGCAGCAGGGGAAGTGCAGCAGCCTCCGCAGCAGCAACTTCACCCTTGGCCGCCGCGGGTCCACCCGCCGTCGCCCATCATGACTGCTACCCCCCCTGCCCCTCTCCCCCCTCCTCACTGGAGCAGTGTTACTCCTCGCCCCTCCCTTCTCAACACTCCGACCCTCCACTCCTCCCCCCCCCCTTATCTCCGCCTGCTCACCCCCTCCCCCCCCTCCCCATCTGCGGCGTTTCCAGCAGCTCCAGCATCAGCAGCAGCAGGACTTCCAGCAGCGGCAGCAACCACAATTTCTCCAGCCGCACCCCCCACATCTCCTCCAGCCGCGGCAATCGCAGCAGCAGCAGTTCTTCCAACACCAACAGCAGCCGCAATCTCTCCAGCCTCACCCGCCACTGTTTCTCCATCCCCAGCAGCAGCAGTCCTTCCAGCCGCAGCAGCGGCAGTCCTTCCAGCAGCAGCAGCTGCCACAGTTCCTTCCACCGCAGCAGCAGCAGTCCTTCCTGCAGCAGCAGCAGCCACAGTCTCTTCAGCCGCAGCAGCAGCAGTGCTTCCAGCAGCAGCAGCTGCCACAGTTCCTTCCGCCGCAGCAGCAGCAGTCCTTCCAGCAGCAGCGGCAGCCACAGTTTCTTCAGCCGCAGCAGCAGCAGTGCTTCCAGCAGCAGCACCAGCCACAGTTCTCTCCATCCGCAGCAGCAGCAGTGCTTCCAGCAGCAGCAGCCACCACAATCTCTCCAGCCGCAGCAACCGCGGCAGCATCGGCGGTGCTTCCAGCAGCAGCAGCAGCCCAATCTCTCCAGCCGCAACCGTCACAGTCTCTCCCACCGCAGCAGCCGCAGCAGCAACAGTACTTACAGCAGCAGCACCCGCCGCTCTCTCCCTCTTCTATCCATGAAACAACTCTCCAGTACTCTGTGTTCCCTCCCTCTCCTTCCCCCCCCACCCTGGACTTTGTCCTTGACAGTGGGGCCACCGAAACCGCACTAAAAGACGCTGGCACCCTCACCCCCCTTCCACTTCCCACCCAGGTTCATGGTGCCGACTCCAGCTTTTCCATCCCCTGCACTCACCTCTCCACCCTTCCTTGCACCGCCTTCCCATCCGGTACAGTCACCGGTCTCCACATCCCTACCCTTCGCAATAACCTCCTCTCCCACCGTGAACTCCAAGGCGTTGGCATTACCGCCATATACCCTGGCTTTGCTTCCTACTGCGATCTCTACCACACCGCCTCTGGTCGTTTCCTCCTGCGCATTCCCCTTTGCCCTCGCACTCGCCTTTACACGCTCCGCACACCCCGTCCCTCCTTTTGTCACGTCACCACTCGTGCTGGTACTTCCACCGGTCCCCTTCTCCCTCCCCCTCACCCTCCCCCTCCCCCTCCTCCGATATCCTCCTCCTCTACTCCATCCGCCTCCTCCTCCCCCCCCAACTTTTCCCCCACCCCATCCCCCTCCTCCTCTACTGCCCTCTCCCATCCTGCAGTGCTCCTACATCACAGACTCGGCCATCCCAACTTCGCCGCACTTCGCTCCACCGTCACCTCTCGCCTCCTTAACAGCCTTCCTCCCACCTTACCTCCCCTCCCCTCCTCCCCTGCTCCCCCATGCCCATCATGCATTCATGGCAAGCTCAAACAGTCCCCCCATCACAGTCATCCCACCTTCGCTCCCGCCCCCATTGACCTTGTTCACATGGATCTCTGGGGCCCTTATCCCATCCGCTCCCGTCAGGGGCACAGGTACATGCTCGTGCTCGTCGACGACCACAGTCGGTACTCCACCGTCTTCTTTCTTCACACGAAAGACCAGGTGCCGGCTGTGGTCATCAACTGGGCTGAGCAGTGCCGCAACCACTTCAAACGTCCCATAGGCCGCCTTCACTCTGACGGTGGGGGTGAGTTCATCAATCATACTCTCTCCACTTACTGCAAAACATACGGCATTCAGCAGACCACCACCCTTCCCCACTCCCCTCAGCAAAACGGCATCGCTGAGAGTCGCATCCGTGAGATCACCAAGATTGCGCGCTGCCTCATTGCTCACGCCTCCACCCCTCCCTCCCTCTGGAGCTATGCCCTCATTCATGCCGCCCTCCTCCTCAATCTCCGCTCCCACCCTCAGCATCCCTCCTCCTCCCCCACAGAACTCTGGTCCAAGGCCAAGCCTGACGCCGCAGGCCTTCGTGTTTGGGGCTGCAAGGCGTTCGTCCTCATTCCACCGGCCGACCGCTCCCGCGCTGCTGGCAAGCTCGCTCCTCGCGCTCTGGACACCTTGGGCACAATCGTGATTCCCCAGGCTACCTATTCCTCCACCCTCCCACCAATCGCTCATCCGCAGCATTGACGTCGTCTTCGACGAGTCCACTCCCTACTACTCCACCCCTCCTCCTGACCCCCTCCCTCCTCCCACTCGCCCCCTCGCTTGGACCGACACCATCCTCCCGCCTCTTATCCCTCCAGCGCCTCTCCTCCCACCTGTCGCCGCCCCACTCCCGCCTTCCTCCTCTGCCGACGTCTACGACCCTGCCGCACCCGCCTCCCCCGCTCACTCAGCTGCACCCCCTCCCCCCTCTCCCTCCTCCTCTCATTCTCCTCCTTTCCAGCAGCCGGATCAGCAACAGCAGGGGCAGCAGCAGCAGCAGCAGCCGGATCAGCAACAGCAGAGGCAGCAGCAGCACCAGCAGCAGCAGCAGCAGCAGCAGCAGCGGGAGCAACACCAGCAACGGCAGCAGGGGCAGCAGCAGCAGCAGCCGGGGCAGCAGCAGCAGCAGCAGCAGCAGCAGCCGGAGCAGCAGCAGCAGCAGCCGGGGCAGCCGCATCAGCAGCAGCCGGGACAGCAGCAGCAGCAGCAGCATCAGCAGCAGCAGCACCAGCAGCAGCAGCGGCGCCGTGCCACTTCCCGCTCCTCCCCCTTCCTCCTCCCTTACATCCATACCCGCTCGGTGGACAAAATCCTTGGGGCTCCTCCTCCTGCCTCCATTCAGCTCCTTGAGGACTCCCATGAGGAGTTCCTCAACATTCGGGAGCACACTCCATTCCTTGCCGCCCTCTACCTTGACTTCCTGGGCTTTCCTGTCCTTGGCGCCACTACTACCCGCACCATCTTCACTCCCTCCACCTTCCAGGAAGCCATCACCTGCCCTGATGCGGATAAATGGATAGCAGCGATCTTCCTGGAGTGTGAGGCTTTCATTCGCAACGACTCCTTTGTCGATGTCCCCCTCCCTGCTGGCGCTAATCTCGTTGACGGCAAATGGGTCTTTCGGGTGAAGCAGCTGCCGGGCGAGGAACCAGTGTACAAGGCCCGCTACTGCGCCAAGGGGTTCACGCAGACTTGGGCTGAGGACTACTGGTTCACCTACGCCCCCACCGCCAAACCACCCACCCTTCGCGCCGCCATGGACATTGGTGCACGTGACGACATGGAAATCGACTCCATGGACGTCTCCAATGCGTTCCTGCAGGGCGACCTGCATGAGCGCATTTTCCTCCGGCGACCCCCCGGGTTCCGCGCAGCCTTTCCTGAGAACACTGTCTGGCAGCTGCGTCGCCCCGTCTACGGCTTGAAGCAGGCACCACGTGAGTGGCATGCGAAGCTGGCTGCCACCTTGGGGTCCCTCGGCTTCTCTGCTTCCCACTCCGACGCCAGCCTCTTCATCCGCTCCTCCCCCCGCCGCTTCTTCATTCTGGTATATGTCGACGACATGATCCTGCTCTCTGACACCAAGGCCGACATGGAGCAGGTGAAGCTGTCCCTGCAGCAGCGGCTCAAGTGCAAGGACCTTGGCGCCCTCACTCACTACCTCGGCATGACCATCACGCGCAACCGCCCTGCTCGCACAATCACCCTCTCCCAGTCCCATTACATCGGCCAGGTCTTGGAGAAGTTCGACATGGCGCAAGCCAAGCCTGTTTCCACCCCGCTCCCCTTCGGTCACCAACTCGCTCCACCCACCTCCCCCACCTCCTCCCCCCACCCCTAAGCCGAGCTCGTTGGGTCCTTGATGTACGCAATGATGTGCACCCGCCCCGACCTCGCCTACCCCATCAGCGTGCTCGCTCGCTTTGTCGGCACCGGTCGTCACTCTGAGGAGCACTGGAAAGCTGCCAAGCGGGTCCTCCGCTACCTTCGCGGGACCAGGGACCTTGCCCTCACCCTCGGCGGCCCTTCCCGTCCCCTTCTCTCGGGCTTCAGTGACTCCTCATGGGCTGACACGCAGCCGGACCGCCGCTCCTCCCAGGGCTACGGCTTCACCCTTGGCAGCGGCCTCATCAGCTGGCGCTCCACCCGCTCCTCCGCCATCTCTCTCTCCACCTGCGAAGCCGAGCTCTACGCTGGCACCATGGCCGCCCAGGAGTCGCGCTGGCTCTGCTTCCTTCTTGCGGAGCTTGGCGCCCCCCAGACGTGCCCCACTCTCTGGTGCGACAACGCCAGCACCATCCATCTCACTCAGGACCCCGTCTATCACGCCCGCTCCAAGCACATCGAACTCCGCTACTTCTTCGTTCGCGAGCTCGTCCAGAAGGGTCTCATTGCCGTTCGCAAGATTGCAACCGAGGCCAACTTGGCCGACATCTTCACTAAGGCCCTCCTTCGCCCCGCGCACTCTGCCTTCCTCCGCCTCATTGGCCTTGCTCGCCCGGGCGCCCCTTGATTCAGGGGTTGTTCTCTTCTTGTGTTAGCATGCTAAGGGGTTGTGTTAAAATATATATTGTGTAGCATGCCAACACATGTGACTGTACACCAATTGTGGTGTACAGTTGGGTTGGGACTACACCCAACTTTGGGTGTAGTCTTGCACTTTGGGGTGCCAATCCACCCAATTGTGGTGGAGCCCCCAAATGCAACCCTCTTGACTTGTGGGTACCTCACTTCCCACAATTGAGGTTACCCCAAGCCAAGTGGGCCTAGGGTTGCCTCACTTCTACAAAGTGTGGGCAACCCAACCCACTTGACCTATGGTTCCCTCACTTCCCCAAGTGAGGTCAACCCAACCTATGGTCACTTTCATCCTTCCCTTCCAACCTTCCCTTCCAACTATGTATGCTAGGTTGTTCCTCTAATCTGATCACTTGTTCAATTTGCTACTTTCACAGCTGTGATGTGGTGTGCTGTCCTGTGATGTGTTGTGTTTCCCTTATCCTTTCCTTCCCTTTCCTCCCCTTTCCTCCCCTTTCCCCCCCCTGTCCCTCCTCTTCCCCTCTCCCTTCCTCCCGTGTCCTCCCCGTTCCACTTCTGCTGCCACCCGCTTCGCCCCACAGGGAGGCAAGGCAGGGCAGCAGGCGGAGGAGGAGGGACTAGGGGCCGAGGTGCTGGCAGTGTGATATTTAGTTTTTCTTTGCACATCCAAAAACACTCCGTACCCTTCAGGGAGGCAAGTCAGCGCAGCAGGCGGAGGAGGTGAGGATAGAGGGCGAGGTTCTGGCAGTATGATACTAAGTGTTAAATCATTCTTAAACACACTTCGCCCTTCAGGGAGGCAAGGCGGCGCAGCAAGCGGAGGAAGTGAAGATAGAGGGCGAGGTGCTGGCAGTGTCGCCGGCCATAGAGGGCCCCCTGCCCATCGTGCCTCACATTCGACCCAAGAAGCGCGGCTTCTCTGCCCGCCTCAATGCCATGATCCGCATCCTGGTACGCTCACTCACCGTTCATACATGAACCTGCACATTCACATGCAACCACGTGCACATGCACACATGCCCGTGCTTTTAAACACGCCCGCCACGCTCACCCTTTCCCGCTTCTCCTCCCCCGCTCCCCACCTTTCCCCCTTTTCTCCCGCCCTCCTCCTCCTTCTCTGCGCTCCTTCCAGTTCCCCAAGCTGGGAGGGGTACAAACAGCACAGTTGGGGATGCTAGCGTTCCTGGTGGTGGCACGCACAGGCCTGTCCGATAGAATCGCCTCTCTCAACGGTACGGGGCTGTCCACTGTACTGCTTGTGGATTGGCATCGAATATTCCATTAACAGTCCGGGGATGTTTTGCTGGATAGTCTTCGAGTTTTGAGACTTTGACAGACCGTCAGAAATGATTGCATATTTCAATGATGCAGGGCTGTCTGCTGTCGTGCTCGCATCAGCGGTGCACAAGAAACAGATGCATGCTATGTTGCGATGATGCATGTAACCGGCAATGTTGATGTTACTTATGAAAATTCTCAGAAGTAACATCAGCACAGCACAGTGTCTGTGATACCATCATGCATCTACTCCTGTCATCTGCACACAGCATTCTGCTTGAAATAAGCATCCTAACGAACCAAACCCTCTCCACCCTCCCGTACCCCTCTCCCAAATACCCACTCCTCTTTTCCTCCTCCTTCCCCCTTCGCGTGGAGCAGGCACGAGTGTGCGCAATGTGCTACAGCAGGACAAGGTGGCGTTCATGCGCCTCATTGCCGTCTCCATTCTGCAGAGCCTCGCCTCCGCTGTCATCGCCCCCTCGCTCAGGTGCGCTCCTTGCTGCCCTGCTGCCCTCCTCCCTCCCACCGCCCTGTTGCCCTCCCCCCACTCACCGCGCTGCTGCCTCTCTCACCTCTTTCTCTCACCTCATCTCCCGCATCTCGCAAGTTCGTCTCGCCCCTCTCATCTTTTATCCTCACTCCTTCCCTCCCACATCCACGCACTCTCCTCATCACCCTTCACCCTTCTTCTCGTATGCATCCTCTCATGCATATCTGTGTGTATGAGTGCGTATGTCTGTGTGTGCATGTGTGCATGTGTGTTTGCATGTATTTGTGCCTGTGTGACCAAGCAGGCATCTACAGTCATCACTGGCACTGGGATGGAGGCGGCACCTCACAGCCCACCTCACCCGCCTTTACTTCAGACATAACGCTTTCTACAAGGCATGATGCACCCTAATGCACTTGTGCTTCATTCACCCACAACGCCTTTACAATGCCGTGCCGTGCCATTCCTTTTCTTTCAAAAATCACCACCACCCCCTCTCTCCCCTACCTTCCCCCGGGTGGTGGATGGCGCTACTAGCTGACAGCCTAACCGACACAGAGCAGAGGCTCTACATCAACTTTCGGAGCAAATCGTAAAGGTCACCCCCACCCACCCGTTCCCTCCCTTTCCTTCCCCAGGTGGTGGCGTTGGGAACGGAGGGTCTAACAGACGCGGACCAGAGGCTATGTGACGACGTGAACCGGGTCTGCTCGGACGTGTCAGGGCTGGTATCAAGCCTCGTGAAGCCCATAGTGGATATCTTCTGGTTCACCTGGCGCATGCGCTGCCTCACAGGGCAGAGGGGCGTGGGCATTCTGTACGCGTACATGCTGCTGGGACTGGGATTCCTGAGAGCTATCACGCCGGATTTCTCCTCACTCACGGCGGAGCAGCATCGGCTTGAAGGGGCCTTCCGGTGTGTCTGCTGCTGCTCCTTCTGCCCCTGTTGTTCTGTCTTCCGTTGTTCCTTCCGAAGCCCCCGTCCTTCTTCTCTTCCTACACTTGTGCCCTTTTTATTTACCTTTCGTCCGTCGCTACTTCTTTGTTCCTCATTCTTCTCGAATGCTGCTTTCCCACGTTTTTGCTTATAACCTCCGCTTTTGATTTTTTTTTGTCTCCTCCTTTCTTGTCTCCTCCACGTGTTCTACCACCTTGCCGTGACCTCTCTGCTTCCCATCTCCCTTCACCTTTCCTCATCCTTCCCTTCCTTAATCCTCTTCCCCCTCTTCCCCTCTCCCTCGTGGCAGCTTCATGCACTCGCGCCTGCGCACCCATGCTGAGTCAGTGGCATTCTTTGGAGGAGGCGATCGTGAGCATGCGGTATGTTGACATGCCATGACATGCCATGCCATGCCCCTCTCACCTACCACCCCTCTCACCTGCGCGCCACGCCATTTTGCCATGCCTTGCCATGCCATGCTGTTCCACTCCAGTGCATTCCTGTGCTCCCTTTCTCATGTGCCCTTTGCCAAAGCCCTACACATCCCACCGACACATCCCTACCCCTGCTTGGAAATCCGACCCTTCCCCCTCCTCTTGCACACCCCCTCCCTCTCTCTCCCACCTTCCCCTCCCCGCTGCCCCCCTACCGCTCCCTCCCCCTTCCCTTTGTCCCCCCTTCCCCAGGTGGTGGCGGACAGGTTTGACCGGGTGATGGAGCACAGGCGGGGAGTGCTGTCGCGGCGGTGGTTCTTTGGCATCGCGGACGAGTTCATCACCAAGCAGCTGCCGCACAACGTCACCTGGGGGCTCTCCATGCTCTACGCCATGGACTACTCGCTCACTGACAGCTCCGACAACCAAGGTGGGAGGAAAGGGAGGCCCTCTTTATCCGCCTTAAACCCACCATTAGTATTTCGTTCGAACTTCATGACCCAGTCCGGTCTATACTATGTGCTGCTGCCTTTGAAGAACTTCAGAGGCTTTCTCTCTTGAAGAAGGTGACCTGATTGCTTTACTCAATGCATGCCAAGGGTTATTTCACCTGGCAATAGGCTACAATAACTGCTTTGCTGACAGGGTGATGGATGCGGTCAAACTGTTGTTTCTCCCGTCCCTAAGCATGCTGTTCTGTAAGAAAAATTCTGCCGCTGGTGTTGACGGGCTTCTGAGAAGCTTTCCCAGGTTGCTACGGAGCTGTTAGTGAGCAACCTGGGAAAGCTTCTCAGAAGCTTGTTAAAATCAGCGGCAGAAATTCTCTCACAGGACAGGCACGAGAGAAACAACAGTTTGACCGCATTTATCACCTGTCAGAGAAGCAGTTGTTGTAGCCTATTGTCAGGTGAAGTAACCCTTGGCATGCATTGAGTAAAGCAACCAGGTCATCTTCTTCAAAACCAGAGCAGCAAGCGAGAGAGAGTCTTTAAAGTCATTCAAAGGTACTTGGATCTGTGGGGAGGGCACTTGGAATGATTGTGTGGGGAGCTGTCCTCTATGCTCTACGCCTTGGACTACTCGCTCACTGACAGCTCCGAGCAAAGGGACCTGCTACAGGGAGGGGCTTGTAGGTTCTAATAGGGGGTCTATGAGTGTGACGTTCAAAACTGTGGTTTGCGGGGGATCTCCATGCTCTACGCCATGGACTACTCGCTCACTGACAGCTCCGACAACCAAGGTTCGGGGGCAAAGGGGCTTGCTACAGGGCGGGGCTTATAGGTTCTGCCAAAGGGTCTGTGGTTGTGGCGTTTGGAATGGTGGTCTGGAGGAGCTCTTAAAATGCTCTACGCCATGGATTACTCACTCGCTGACAGCTCCGACAACCAAGGTGGGAGAGTGGGAGAGTGGGAGGGGGGGGGAGTGGGGGGGTTGGGGGGGGGGGGCTTTTAGGGAGGAGGGGCCTGTTAGGGTGTTTCTGCAAGAATTCGTGCTTCCCACCTTGTTACATTCTCCCGCAACACTCTCCCCACTTTTCCCCCTCGCTTCCCTCGTGGACCCGTGCAGGCTATCGTCTAGAATCCTAAATAAACAACCTCTTCCACCCCCTCACTCCCCGCCCACCTCTTTCACCCCCTCACTCCTGCCTACCTCTTTCACCCCCTCACTCCCGCCTACCTCTTTCACCCCCTCACTCCCCGCCTAACTCTTTCACCCCCTCACTCCCCGCCCACCCCTTTCACCCCCTCACTCCCCGCCCATCCCGTGGCTCGGGTCGAGTGTGTTCTGGTACGACCTACGCTTCCTGGCATTGCCTGAGTCGCACTCATTCCTGGCACGGGACGTTCGGAGGAGCTGTTACCGCAACGTACAGGAGCTGACGCGGTTGCCTGCCACCTTCACCCCCTCTCCCTCTTGCTCCTCCCCTGTCAGGCGTATTGGCACACGATCTGCGCTTCCTGGCGTCAGTGGTGTCGCACTCGTTCCTGGCGTTCGGGGAGATCTTGGAGTGTTACCGTAAGGTGCAGGAGCTGATGTTATTGCCTGCCTGCCACCCCTCTCTCGCTCGCTCTCTCCCTGTCTCTCTTCCCCCTGTCAGGCGTATTGGCACACGATCTGCGCTTCCTGGCGTCGGTAGTCTCGCACTCGTTCCTGGCGTTCGGGGACATCTTGGAGTGTTACCGCAAGGTGCAGGAGCTGGCAGGCACCATTTCCCGGGTCATGGGGCTCGATGAGGCGCTGCTTGCTGCACAGCACGGTGAGCGCTGCTACTTTCTTCTGAGTTGACTCAAAGGTGCAGGAGCTGGCTGGCAGGCACCATTGCGCGTGTGATGGGTCTCGATGAGGCGCTGCTCGCCGCACAGCACGGTGAGGGCTGTTGTGTTACTAGTCTGTTCTGTCCTTGTGTCTGGTAAAGGAATCAGAATGGTACGGTGTGATTTGTTTTGTGCCATGGAACGGTACAGGTCTGAGCTGGAGCAACGTGGACGCATAACCTCTGAAGCTTCATGCAAACGCAATCCACTTCTCCTCTCCCTTGCCACAACCTTCCCGCCCATCTCACCCTTCGTCTCCCTCCCTCTTCCTCTTTCCAGACCTGGCCCCTCACAACATGCAGCGCCCGGGCTCCTTCACAGGGCTGCTGGCGTTAGCATCTCAGGCACCAGACGCGCCAGTGGCGCAGGATGTGGCGTTCCTGGGAGTGGACGTCATCACTCCCGCCCAGAAGTTGCTGGCTCACCGTGACTCCCCCATCCCTCATCCCTCTCCGCATCCCTCATCCCTCTCCGCATCCCTCATCCCTCTCCCATCCAGACCTGGCCCCTCACAACATGCAGCGCCCGGGGTCCTTCACAGGGCTGCTGGCGCTAGCATCTCAGGCACCAGACGCGCCAGTGGCACAGGACGTGGCGTTCCTGGGAGTGGACGTCATCACTCCTGCCCAGAAGCTGCTGGCTCACAAGCTCTCTGTGACTGTGCACCCGGGGCAGTCGCTGCTCGTCACAGGCCCCAACGGCAGTGGCAAGAGCAGTCTATTCCGAGTGCTGGGCGGGCTGTGGCCCCTCGTGGAGGGCACGATACTCAAGCCAGGCCTCCCGCCGATGACAGCGGGCAGCATGCTGCTAGCAGAGGGCGCCACAGGCATCGCCACAGGCGGCATGTTCTACGTGCCCCAGCGCCCGTACGCTGCTCTGGGGTCGCTGCGAGACCAGCTGATTTACCCGCTCTCGCGAGTGGATGCGGCTCAGAAGGTCGTGGGGTTCCGGGCGCCTGCTGCTCTTGCTGCCGCTGGGAAAGGTGCGTGCAGGGGATGGGAGGGGTTGGGGGGTGAGTGGGGTGGAGTGGGGTCAAGTGGGGTGGAGTGGGGTAAAGTGGGGTGGTGTGGTTTTGGATCGAATTGGACAGGAGGTCAGCAGTGCTTTGCGATTAGGGCTACATGGAAGGGGTTTTACGCTTGGTTTAGGATAAGGGGATCACACCACTTGTCTCTCCGACGTTCGCCTCTACTCATCTTCACTGCTCCGTCTGCCTCCCCCTCCCCCTCCCCGTCCCCTTCCCCCTCCCCTTCCTCCTTCCCCTTCCTGCTCCTCTCTCCCCCTCCCCACTCCCTCCCCTTTCGCCCAGGCGACACCCCAGCGGCAGGGTGGACAGCAGCGGTGGAGGCAGCAGCGTTCCGGGCGTTGGACGAGCAGCTGGCGCGCATCATGGAGGACGTGCGCCTGCTGTACCTGCTGGGCCGCGAGGGCGGCTGGGACGCCACCTCCACGTGGGAAGACACGCTCTCGCTGGGCGAGCAGCAGCGCCTGGGCATGGTGAGAAGAAGGGGGTGGGGGAGGGTGGAGGTGGGGAGACAGGGCGGGGATTGGGTTGGGGAGAAGTAGGAGTGGTGGCTGGAAAGAGTGGCAGAAGGTGGGGAAGTGGGAGGTCGGGTGGAATGTGACTGGCACGTGGGAGGGGACACCTGTGTTGTTCAGGGAGCAACAGCGCGGTGGGTATGGTGAGAAAATGGAGTAAGTGAAGCTGGAAGAAGGTCCGTTGTTGCTGAGTGATTACTGAGCGCGATGGGCGGTTGTGTGGGGGGTACCGGCCTCGTGTAACTTCGCTTGTGTTATGTGTGGCTTAGTTCTGTCCTACTGATTTCCCATCCCCCCTTCCCTCCCTCCCTTCTGGTCTTTGTTTACCGCTCCTTTATCCCCGTTGTATGTGTCCTCCTCTTCCCACCCCCCAATCCGACCACCATATCCCCTTCCTCCTCCCCCACCTGTCAGGCCCGTCTCTTCTTCCACCGTCCCAAGTTTGGCATCTTGGACGAATGCACCAAGTGAGTGGAGGGATGGGACTAGACAGCCTATGTGCGGGGGGTAGTGGGTGGAAGAGGAAGGAGGGGAGACGGGAGGGTAGAGCGGGAGGGGGAGGAGGGAGGGGGATGGACGATTTTTCTGTCTCTGAGAAGTTTCTTGCAAGGGAAGGGGGGAGGCAGCAGGGCGAGAGGGTGAGGGACCGGGGGTAACGAATTGGTGGCAATTTCACTCCATGCACGCATGCATGTCATTTCCCCAAATCCCTCTCCCTCTCTCCACTCGATCAGTATTCCACATTTTCCTAGCATGTTCCTGCCCATCCCAGTCCTGCATGGGTCCTAATTTCCTCATCTCACTCGCTCTCTTCCATTCTCCCATCCCCCTCTGCACCCTTGTGTCCCCACCCCCCCATATGCGTCCTGTGCTTTGCGCTCCTGCGCCCTGTGTTTCCCTCGCAGTGCAACGAGTGTGGATGTGGAGGAGGCGCTATATGCACGTGCCAAGGAGCTGGGCATCACTGTCATCACAATCTCCCAGGTGTCCTCTCCACTTCCATGTCTATCCCCCACATGTCAAACGGAGCATAGCCACTGCCCGCCTGCATCTGTGCTGCTATGCTTCCATCCCTTTCACCATCGTCTGCCAGACATTAATATCTGTGACCAGATACGATTTCCAGACAATCCGCAGAGCCACCTTATCTTCTGCTATGCGTCCTGCCTCTTCTCTCCAACCCTTTTCTCTCCTTTCCCCTGCCCTGTCCCTTCCTTGGTCACCTTCCCTTGATCCCCTTTCCAACGTTTGCCCCACTTCCCCTGTGGAACCCCACGGCCTTGCCCACCCAGCGGCCTGCCCTGGTGCCGTATCACTCGCAGGAGCTGCGGCTCATAGATGGCGAGGGCACATGGGAGCTGCGCTCCATTCGCGTTGCCACCCACTCTGCAGGCGCCGTGCCTGCTGCTGACGGTGCTGTGCGGTCCAAAGTGGTGATTGAGGAGGTTGCAGTCAATGGAGAGGCTGAGGGCAGGAAGGATTCGTCTTCATATGCTGCCGTGGCTGCTGCGGGGACTACGACTGAGGAGGCATAAGAAGTTTACTGTAATCTAATGGTGGCTCTTCTGTTATACTGGGACACTAAATGTTGAAACACTCAGGGTAGCAGTTTCTGTAGGCGATCCTGCCGTTTCTTCAAGCATGTTTAGCTGACAGTGCATGTCTTCGAATACGACTGGAGTATACTGTAATCTGGCATTGAAGCTCTGTACTATTTTCTGACTGGATAAGGGCAACAAAGGTTTATTTTTGTTGGAAACAATCGATCTTAAGCGCCTCTGTCGTGTCGAAACACTAAGGCACAAACGAAGCGAAGCATATCGAAGCACCGGCGAGTCAACCCTCGGAGGTTGAAAGTAACTGTTGGAGGTTACGCGAAAGTCAAAGGTCAGCGACCTTTGACCTGACAGAGTACACCGCGACAGCAAGGACACACAACTGACTCGCTACAGAGCAGTTGCCCGAGTCGTCACTGTATCGAACCGCAACAGCAACAGTAAAACAGTTATAACAGTACCCCTTCATATTCCTTGTACTCTTATATTTAATCTTGTATCTCTCTGTTTTAATCAATCTACTTTGCCCTCACATACTAGCGCAAGGTGTTTCAACTACTTCATTAAAGGTTCCGCTATTACATCAGTCCTACCCAGAGTTCACCCCTGCAAAGATCCTAAGGGCTATTTCTCAGCCCAACATGGTATGAGAGCAGTCAGGGAGAATTCAACTCCTATTAAGATACCGACAGCATCAACAGGCATGGCTACACAAAAGGAAAGGAGCTCCTCCAACGGCTCCCAGGGCACTACTCCTACTCCACCTCCTGCCTCTGGCCTACAGACAGAGGAGGGTACGGCAACAAGACCCAGGGCAACATCCACCGAGACTCCTGCGAATCAACCTGCAGACTTCGACCAGAGCATGATGGAGAAATTCTTCTCCTTCATGTCTTTCTACGAGCAACACCAGCAATCGGCACCTGCGCAGTCACACAATAGCAACAACAACGGAGCAACTCCCATGAGTCTCGACGGCTCATCATACGCACGAGGAAATCAACAGCAGCAGCCTACCTTTGCTCCGTACGAGCGCGGGTCCATCAGCTTTATGGCACACCCGCAGCCTTCACCTGGACAAGAAAAGTCACTGGACGCATTACAAGTTCAGTCGCAGTTCGCGCACGTTCTGAAGATGCAGACGTCAAGACCTTTCGATGGAAAGGATTTCTTCACCTGGTCGTTTGAATTCGAGTTGATGATGGAAGGCGCGCAGATACTTGGCTTCTTCGACGGGTCCCTACCATACCCAACGAACGGCACACAGTATGAGAAGCAGCAGTACACCTATCAGTCGATGATGGCGTACACGATTCTACTAAGAAACATCACCCCGACTCAACAGCAGAATGTGAAGATTACAAGGAATGAATGACTAAGGAATGAGTGTGATACAAATATGAAACCCTAGAATTGTGTACCCCTTAGTGTCGAACCCGATACAGCCTATACAGACTAGATCATACAAGTCTGACACACCCCCATAGGCAAAGTGGGGGAGAACAAGGGGTCACAAGACCAAAACAAAGCAACCTCAGGGTGGATCACAACGTCACCACACATTCCAAGCACAGGTTCAAGGCCACAAGACCAGTTCACATGCAGGATCATATATATAAAGGTAAACAAGCAAGTGCAGGTATATATAGAACACAGTACAAGCAAGGTCAAGAAGTAAGCAAGTGAGGCCAAGTAGGCACAAGACCTAGCATCGTACAAAAGCGCTGATGATCACAAGGCTGAAGTGCCTTGGTAAAGATATCAGCAGTGTTGGCCTGAGAGGCCACGTAAGCAAGGCGCAGCTGACCACGCTGCTGCAGCTCACGAGCAAGGAAGTAGCGAAGAGCAATGTGCTTCGTTCTGTGCTCCAGTCTGTGCTCCCGACACAAGGCCAGCATGGCCTTGTTGTCTACGTACAGAACTGGAGGAGAACGAGGCGGCTCTCCCAGGTCGGTCAGCAGGTAGGTGAGCCAGCGTAACTCCTGTGCAGCCATGGCCCCTGCGTAGATCTCGGCCTCACAGCTGGAGCCGAGAACAGAAGACGAGCGGGTAGACCGCCACGAAACAGAGCCGGAACCAAGGCTGAAGGTGTAACCCTGTGACGACCGCTGCGTAGCCTGGTCGTCAGCCCAAGAAGCGTCTGCGTGACTTGTGAGGACCACTGAACGCCACCCTCCAAGCACTAGCCCCATGCCCGACGTACTGCACAAGTAGCGCAACACCCTCTTCGCTGCAGCCATGTGCTCTGATCGGTGTCTCCCAGGAGCAACATAGCGTGCCAAGATGCTAAGAGGGTATGCAAGGTCAGGTCGTATGCAGGTCTTCAGGTACATGAGGCAGCCAACAAGCTCTGGGTACGAGCCACTCGGCTCTACGGACTCATCCGAAGGCAGAGCTGAGAGCGAGTGGCGAGTAGACAGAGGAGTGGCCTGAGGCGAGGAGTACGTGAAGTCGAAGCGCTGAAGGACATGCTGCACCATGTGTGACTGAGTCAGGGTGATGGTGCGCTGTGCTCTGTCCCGGGTGATCTGCAAGCCAAGGTAGCTGCGCAGTTCACCCATGTCTGTGCACGTGTGTCTCTTCTGCAGCTCGGACTTCACGTGGGCGAGTCCAGCAGTGTCAGCAATGGCAAAGACCAAGTCGTCGACGTACACGAGGATGTAGAACGGGGGAAAAGAGGTGTCGGTGCGTAGAAACAGCGACGGGTCGGCAGTAGCAGGAGCAAACCCAAGAGCCGCAAGTGTAGTCCTCATTGTGTCGTGCCACTCACGAGGCGCCTGGCGGAGACCGTAGACTGGCCGCCGGAGGCTCCACTGGGTACCAGGAGGAAACGACCCAGTGAAGCCAGGTGGGCGGCGCAGCCAGATCTCCTCGTGCAGGCTGCCCTGCAAGAAAGCTGTGCTGAAGTCAAGAGAGTGAAGCTCGTAGTCACGCTGAGCGGCTATGTGCAGCAGCACTCGAAGAGTGGTCATCTTCGGGGTGGGAGAGAAGGTCTGAAAGTAGTCAACTCCCTGGCGCTGACTGAAGCCTCGAGCCGCGTAACGCGCCTTGAAGACAGGCGGAGAATTAGGTGGTTGCTTCACCCTGAAAATCCACATGCCACTGACGATGTTCGCCCCAGGTGGGGGAACCTCGTCGACGTAGGTGCCTGTGGACTTCCAGGAAGCCATCTCTGCGTCCATGGCTGACTGCCACTGTGAGGAGTAGGGACCCTCGATCGCCTCAGCGTACGATCGAGGAGTCGGGATGTCTGGTGCATCCGGGTCTCCCTCAGGGGCAATCAGCATGGACACGAGATGAGGCAAAGCAGCAGCAAAACACTGGAACTCCTCCTGCCTGTCCTCAAGGACGTCCGTGCTAAGAGCACACTCACCCCCGACGGACGGAGGACAGACAGACTCAGACTCAGCGACAAGACTAGCGGCGTAGTCTAGACGACAGTGAGCAGCGAAGTCGACAAGCTCAGCAACTAAGGCAGACGCAGCAGTGGACTCAAAGGAAGGGTCAGTGACGACAGTAGCCAGGAGACGCGTGACAGTAGGACTGGCAGCACGAAGAGAGTCAGACTCCGGGTCAGCAAGAGCAGGAAGAGAGGACTCTGGAGGAGACGGCAAAGGGACACGCCGCGGAGCAGTGGAAGGACGCAGTGCCATCTGGTGCGTGCCCGGGACCGCAGGAGGACGCTGACGCGGAACACGACGACTAGCGCGAACAGCACGAACAGGCGACGCAGGACGAGACGCAGGCTCACGACGCTCAGCAAGACCTCCAGTAGGACCAGAGTAGGGAGAAGGAGCCGGCAGTGGGGAGGCGGGCTGTAACTGTGACTCGGACTGGACAGGCTGTGGACACTCTAAGGGAGGAGGAGGACCAGTAGAGGGCGGGAGACCAAGAACCTGCTCAAGGAGCGGAACGAAGTACGGTCGCGGCCGCGCAGCGCCTCCGGAAACAGCAGGGACAGCACCACCACCCCCAGCGGCAGCACCAGCGCCAGCAGCACCTCCAGCTCCAGGAGCGCCAACTCCAGCACCCGTAGAAGCCCCAGTACCCTCAGCAGCACCAGCAGCTCCAGTACCTCCAGCAGCACCAGCAGCACCTCCAGCAGGACCAACTCCAGCAGCCTCAGCAGCACCCCCAGTCTTAGCAGCTCCAGTACCGCAAGTACGAGCACCTCCAGGACCAGTAGCTCCAGTACCTCCAGCGCCGACCCCAGGGTCAACAGCAACAGCAGCACCTCCAGCACCAGCAGCACGGCTCCAACGCCTGGCAAACCACTCGCGTAGCTCCTGTGGAGAGGGCAGCTCCCGCCGAGACAAAGTACCCGAAGGACCCCCAGACCCAGCACCGCCAGAGGCCACACGAGGAGACCCAGCACCCCCAGGCTCCGCACCCCCAGGCTCCGCACCCCCAGACTCAGCACCCCCAGGCTCAGCACCCCCAGACCCAGCACCCCTAGACCCCGCACCCGCAGGCTCAGCACCCCTAGCAGCACCAGAGTCAACAGCTACCTCGACAGGCTCGACTGCGTCTACCTGGGACACACCTGATGGGGCAGGACCCTGAGGGGGGAGAGGGTCTACCGGTGGGGGACCTGGTGCAAGGAAGAGCGGCGGCGGGGGGAGGGGCGCGGTGCGGTAGGGGAAGAGACGGTAGTAAGGAACCGACTCGTCAAAGGTGACGTCCTGGGAGGACAGAACACGGCGCGAGGTGGGGTGGTAAAACTGCCAGCCAGGCGCGTCAGGGGGGAAGCCAAGGAAGACGCAGGGAACAGCACGAGGGGACAGCTTGTCCGCAGACAAGTCGCGGACAAACGCCCGAGATCCCCAGACACGAAACGCAGACGCATCGCCAACCTTCCCCGTCCACCGCAAGGTGGGGGAGGTCTCTGGCAAGGAGACCCGGGGCTGAAGGTTGATCTGATGCGCAGCGTACTGAACCGCAAACGGCCACAGAAAATGGGGAGCAGCCGCATGGATCAT